TTCCTGGATGTTCTTCAGTGTGCCGCCTCCACAGAAAAGGTCACTTTATATCTGGTGGCTTATTGTTTTCAAATAATATATCTGTGCATAAATTGCTGGGTGAAAGTTTGCCATGCTATCTTTCACTTAGCTGCCGTTGCTGTTTCTCCCTCCATCCCTCTCGCCCCATCTGTGAGAGTTTGCATGTTCTGATGGAATTACCACAGGGTGTCTGTCCAGGAAAGTCAGTCCCCAGCTCTGCTCCTGGGTGCCTATTATGCCAAAGTCATATCCTTAATCTTTCCAGATCTATAAAGTAAATAACGTAATTTATTACATACCTTGCATGAGCATTACGAGGATTTAAAGTACATATGAATATTACTCTAGGAGCGTATAGTGCTATGTATGAATGCTTGCTGGTAAGTGGATGATTTTTCACTTTCTTAGTGTTTAGACAAGGTTCTTCTCTTTAGTTATGACTGGCAAAAACTTAAGTTTAGGCTGTTGGAATCACTTACAAACCATCTCCCAGCTCAGAGTAGCTCAACATGTCATCTCTTCCTTGTGGACAGAAACACTTTCAGCTGAAGGGATCTTCTGAAAGATTTAACTCTGGGATACAAATGGCAGCCCTCTATACTGAAATTAATTAGGGATTTCAAAACTCTTGCCCTTAAGTTATCAGCCACTGCAGGGCCAGTTTTAGCCATGATGTCAAGAAAGGAGGAATTTAAAACATTGAAAACCACAAGGAGCTGGCACAACATGAAACCATGCATCCAGTAGTTGCACCTTACTGAACTAGTCTGGGATTTAGGTATCTATGAATCCAGAGCAGGATAGTCGGATTAGACCTTGTGTGCCTGTGTGTGTGTTACAAAAGAACCCTCATCAGTGCTTGATGATCCACAAACCTGACTTCTCTTGGGCTGATGAGGCAGGTGACTCTGGGAAAGAACCCATTTGCCACTGCTCTGCTCACTTTGCATCTCTGCAACATCACCAGAACAGTATCTCCCATGAATGTGCTGCCTGTAATGTGTTTCGTCTCACTGCAAGATGCTGGATCTCTGGGAGTCTTGAAAGGATTGAAAAGACAAAGTAAATTAGGTTGCTGGGAAAGGACTAAAATTTGAAATAGCTATGAATGGAACATGGAGTGCTGGCTGAGCACCGATGCCTGTGAAAGTCAGATTCATGCCACTGGTCAAGCTTCTGAGAAAGTGCATTTTGTACAGTGCATAAATGTATGTCTCTGGGTTGCCTGGTCTAGTAGATAATGCAGAGATAGGGAGCCAAGGGACCTACAGTCTTTGCTTTCTGGCACTGTCTTCTATCATTTGCCTTCCTTATTAAGAAAGTAAGCTTAGGGCAGAAAATTGTCCTACTTCATGTTTGTACAGTGTAATGGGGTCCTGGCCTTAGCGGAGGCTCTGGGTGCCACTAAAATACACACAGTAATAACAGTGGTGACCTATTCTATATCCTATTATTCCAGTATCCAACTTCAGTTATGAGGAGCAATTTATTCCATGAAACGTGGTGGAAGTAACCACTAGAATATATGGTTATAGTTTAGTTTCTTTCCCTTTTACTGTCAGTAGTATATAAACATTGTTTTTCAGAAAGAAAGGGATGGGCCTTTAAGTACAGTAGTGCAGAGCTTTCCAAGTGTATTTAAAGACATTGGTATGAAATGGCCATCAGGGCAGTTTTTATGGGCTTTTGTGCACAGAGGATTTCAGATATGCCTGCATGCTGGTAGAGAAGCAAAACTCAAGAGTGTTACTCTCAGGAGCAGCAGAAGTAATTTTCTGCAAGTACGGTAACAGCTCAGAGACCTCCTTCTGCCACATCAGTAGTGTTGTCCTTAACTACAGCTGGTGGTGGTGCAAGTGGAAGTGTAAGCAACCATAGTAGATTTAAGCATCTGCAAGGAAAATACACTAGAAGGGCATAAAACCAAGGGACTTTTGCAGTAATGTTTCATTGCAAAGCTTTAAGAATCCAAGACCCAGGAATTTCGATACTGTCATATTATCAATTCTTAGGCACTATTAGCTGAGACAACTTACAAATGGTTGGACTAGTAGCCTAAAGGAATTGTTGGCCTTTGCCAAGATAGATAGAAGGAGTTACATAGAAGAATCAAGTAAATCAGTCACCACAGTGTGTAAGTGTCAGGATGGATAATAAGCTTTAATTCTCTTTTTAGAACTGCAGTAGCCTACAATGGGATAAGTAATATCGGATAAAAATACACTGACCACACATTGCATGTAGTAACAAGCAACAGCCGGGCAAAATCAAACCCGGATTAGAGGATGGAGTTGACAGCACATCTTTTTTTTTTTTTTTTTTTTTTTTTTTTTTTTTTTAATGTGGCTCACAATTCATGAGGGTATTCACATGATACAAAAATGAGGAGGGTCTGACTGTGCTGTTTGTGATAGAAAACCATTCTCCAACACCTACTATTTAGGGTCATAGGAGTAACTGCAACTCAAGTGAAGGATAATTTGGAGTACTTCTGAGTTTCACTTCAAACAAATAGAGTTTTAGCTATTTTCAGGGAAAAATTGTACCTTTATCATCTACTTTGTTGTGTGATAGTGTCAGGATTGCCTGTATGATGGTATATAGCTCACCTCTTGGTCAGATTTTCTCCAAGATTGAAAGAGATATTGTCAAATAAAGATGGTAATATGTAACTGATACGTTATTTTATTTTCATGCTCAGGAGTCCCATTAATGCATTTCAGACATACGAGCACAGAAGTTACCAGTGAACTCTTAACTGAATGGGAAAATTGGAGGATGCAGCAGAGCAGTAGAGTTGTCAGGGAGAAAAAGCTGAAAATTACATGTGTGTTTGAAACAGCCAGCATTTTTGCTTGCTAAATATTGTGTTTTGCTGTAGCAAAATAGATTAACGGCTTAGCTGTAGGAAAGGAGAAATCATACTTTTATCACTGCGTGTGGTGAATTTTCTTGTTTTGCATTTACTGTGTCATTGTTCTATATATACCCTTCAAAATATGATGAGAGCAGAATATAACACTTTATTCTAGATCAGATCCTCATCCCTGGAAGTCCATCAGCTAAGGCCCTATTCAGAACATATCAGAAAGCCCTGTATTCAGGGGTGATGTGATGTGATCATGATAACCATTAGGACTCATCCTTGCAGACAGAGATCTTTTAAAGCCTATGCAGTCTAACATGTGGCAAATGGGCAAAAGAATAACCCAGTGAGGCTTTCTACTATCTTGCCAACATATGGACTTGATGGAATATTGTCTCCCCAAGCTATTGACTTCATGTCAGCTTTTCCTGAAGGACAGCAACACACAGTTGTTAAAAGAGCAAAACATTATGGTCTTCTGATGATAGCACTCTGTTTTCATCTTTGATTCCCCTTTCCTACTGTGTTTAAGCTGTAGAGGAAGACTTGACTGACTTGAACAGCAAAGGTGAAACTCAAGATAAGATTGTGATCTCATGTAACATAAATCTATTTAACTTCATTAAATGCAATGGTGATATTTTTGGGATTAGTTAAGTATATCAGAAATATAATAACGATAGACTTATTTAATATTTAGAGTAGCCACAACTCAATTCTTGTGGGGCCTTCTAAATCAAGCTCAGTGGTTTAAGCTGTATCTGGAAAAATTTTGCACAGGAAGTAAAGTCAGCAGAGCTAAGGTATATCATAAGCACTGTACAAATAGTCCCAGCAGCAGGGGAGGGGGTAGCATTCTGCAATGTCCTCAGTTATTACAGGTGCAAAAGACTCTTAAAGTCAGATCATGACAAGGAATCATCACAGAATGGTTTGGGTTGGAAGGAACCTTAAAGGTCATCCAGTTCCACCTCCCCTGCCACGGGCAGGGACACCTTCCACTAGCCCAGGTTGCCCAAAGCCCCGTCCAACCCTTTGAACCCTTCCAGGGAGGGGGCAGCCACAGCTTCTCTGGGCAACCTGTGCCAGGGCCTCACCACCCTCACAGTAAAAAACTTCTTCCTTACATTTACTCTAAATCTACCCTCATTCACTTTAACACTATTACCCCTCACCCTATCCCTACACCCCCTAATGAAAAGTCCCTCCCCACCTTTTCTGTAGCCCCTTTAAGTACTGGAAGGCCACTGTAAGGTCCCCCTGGAGCCTTTTCTTCCCCAGACTGAACACCCCCAACTCTCTCAGCCTGTCCTCACAGGGGAGGTGCTTTGTGACCCTCCTTTGCACCTGCTTGAGCAGGTCCATGTCCTTCTGATGTTGAGAGTCCCAGAGCTGGACAGAGTTTTGTGTAAAGAAGTAAATGAAGAAATACCTTGCAAATAATGTTCCTCAATATGTTGGGATTTTTTTAAGTGTGTAGTCTTTACTCTTAAAAACCCCAAAATTTGAGATTGAAATTCTGTTGTCTTGCTGGGGCTGCAGAAGAACTCATGCATGGAGTATGTTAGATGATGCGGAGGCTGCTCTGGGCGCTCGATTAATGATTGTTACATGCGTAATTGTAACCGTATGTTTCCAAAACCTAGGCCTCCAGTACAATGAGAAATAAAAATGTGTTATGATTTTAGAAGAAAAAAAATTTCTGCAAGTGGTATTATGGGATATGTTATTGCAAACTTTTACATTCATTATTTCGATGAGTGAGGATTGCACCTTCACTTAAGCTATTTGAGATGAAAATTATAACTGCTATTAATTCTTCTGCTTCTGGGTGTATGCTGAGTGCTTCAGAAGAGTAAATTCCCCGTTACAGTATAATATGGTAAAATATTATTCAGTTGCATTACACTGGGATTTTACACCCTATTACTGCTCTGAATTATCTATCATTAGCTCTTTATTAAAGGCAGATTTGGTTAGATGGACAATTGTCTCTTGCAGTTTGATTGCAAATATGTTGTTAGGCTTTCAAATGAATATTTAAAGTGTATCACTGGATTTTTCTACAAATTCTCTTTCTTATCTCCTCCTTCCTCTGCCTGAATCTTTTAAGGAGCTTCCACACAGAATTCCAATGCAGTGGAACCAGAAAAGCAAGTTGACAGCACGGTGAAAATGGCTGGAGTTATAGCTGGTCTGTTGATGTTTGTTATTATCCTCTTGGGAGCAATGCTTACCATCAAGAGAAGGTAAGTTTCTGCTTTGCTTCCATCTTTGACCTGGCTAGATAGAGTGTTGCTGTTTCAAAAAGAAGAATGAAATTGGTAGAGAGAAAACATTCCATTTGTGTTACAGAGGGCAGCTATCACTAAGAAGTTGAGATGCATGTTCTGGCAGATACTATATGAGCAACAAAAGAATGGTTGTTACTGCAAAGAGTTAATGATAATTAATTGATAGTTAATAAGAAGAGTTAGCTCATGGAGAAGTACAAAGTGATAATGAGGCAATGGAAGTAGGCTTGTGAGCCTGTGCAGGTAGCACAACAGGGGTCTAATAGAAGACAAGAATTCTTTCTTAGTCAAGGAAAAGAATGTCTTAAAATAATGTGATCATTGAGGAGACATTTTCACACAGCAATTTCTTTGCAACCAGTGTTCAGCTGGAATATTACATCTTGCTGAGGGTTAGAATCTGTCCAAGAATTAGCTTTAGTTACAGGGGAATGAAACTTGGACAAATCATGTATGGTAATGAAATTTGTTCAGTTTATTTTGTGTTAATTTTTTTTTACTATTTGCACTTAAACTTTGAAGAAGACTATTGTTGTTTCCACTATTTTAGGAGCTCTATATTTACAGTACAATGTACTGATCCAGAAAACCACTTAGGCAAGAGGTTTTCTTGAGAAAAGGATGCATTTTGTATCTATTTTTACCAGTCATATTTCTGAAGGGAACCCTACTTTTCAGCAGAAATTTGATGCTAATTGAAACAGGAGCTAGGTAGCCTGGCAGCCCCTTGTCTAGGTGTAGGTAGTATTACATGTGAGAGCCTTGGTGATTTGACTTGGTCTGTTGCAGAGCATGCAGCTTTTCAAAGCAAAGTTCTGTTCCTTTGAGATCTCTTATCTCTATGACAAACAGTCACATATCTCCCAAAAATAAGAGCAGGAGTTAAATCTAGATATGATCCTCCTCTATCTTAATCCAGAGCACACAGGCAAATGGAATAGCTCTGTGCTACAGATGCTTGAGTGCAGGGCAGAAGGACCTTGAGAGGCTGGAGAAATGGGCTGATGGGGACCTCATGAAATTGAGCAAAGGCAGAGTCCTACATTTGGGATGGAGTAACTCCATGCAACAGTACAGGCAGGTTTGCAGAGAAGGACCTGAACGTCTTGGTGGACAACTGGAACACAAGTCAGCAATGTGCCCTTGCAGCAAAGAGCAACTGTGTCTGGGGCAGTGTGGTTAGAGTGTAGCCAACAGGTTGATTCAAGTGATTATTCCCTTCTGTTAGCCACTGATGAAATTGCTCTGGGCATACTGTGTCCAGTCAGGGGATCCTCAGTACAAGAAAGGCACTGATATATGAGAGCAAGTCCAGAGGAGGGTTAGCAAGATGGTTTAGAGGTAGAGAATCTCTATCCTTGGATAAACTAAAAATTTGACTTGGACAAGGCACTGAAGGACTTTCTGCAGGTGAAACTAGTTTAAGGAGGTTTCCTTTGATTAAGCCTTTCCAAATGATGTAATTCTACAAAACTGATTCCAAATGTACTGACTACTGTGAATTCCTGTTGAATCAACTGAAGATGTGGGCAGTCTAGATTTTTAATCCAATTTCTGTTGTGTGTAAAAAATTTCAGATTTTGTGTACAAATGTGTGTTTTAGTCACATGTACTGCAGTTTTGTTCAGTGTTAAACCCAAGCAGTATAGATGTTCCTGACTCCAGTCCTCTGCGAGCTTTCCAGTTCAGAAACAGAAAAAAATCAGATGCCTCCAATGAAAAACAGAAAAAGGGTTTCAGCAAAATTCGAGTTGGGTTTCTGGTTTGGTTAATGTCCAGCCCTCATCCATTCCTGTTACCTTCCTAAAAGTTATTTAAGGAAAGCTTTTATTTTCATCTTGAAAGATAAAGCTTATAAGGAAAGCTATCAGAGCAATGCCCCATCTGAACATCCTGGTGTATTTCACAAGCTACTAAAAGTTCATAGCATTTCTCTCGGGTAATGTATTATTATTATAAATCATGTATATTGCTAGGCAGAAAAGAAACAATGTTTTTTCATGATGACAAGGAATTTCTTATTGGAGGACAGTTTTTCTCTGGTATAAACTGCCAACAACTAAGTCAGAAAGGTAAGGATATTCTTATGAGACAATATACTTTAAATATTAAGGAGGTAATACACATTGTATCTTTATTTTCTCAAATATGTAGTTAAAAGTACAAAATGGGAAGAACTTGGATGATTAGACAGCTTGTCATTGTTTGTACGTTTACAAATGCTTCAGTGAGAAAGAAGGAAGACAGTAAAACTCATGATGGTTGTTCCTGTGTGAGGGATATCTTCAATAGATTTGGATCAAAGAGGAAATCCAAAAGTCAAACCTTCATTGCAGTAGGCCGTAGGTTCATTTTCAGGATTTGCACAAACCATGTTGATCCCCTGTCTGCATGCCATAGGTCAGAATTTCTGTAGTTGTCCATAATTTGTTTCATTTTATTTTCAGTCAGTTATGTGTGTAGAATATTTCGCTACTTCATTCTCCAAAGGCCATTTTTTCCTATTTTCAGATTTCACATCAAACTCATATTCCCAAACAGTCTACTACATCTTTTGAAATGTAAATATGGTACTCTTGCTGTTAAACACTGTGATTGCTGCCAATCTATTTTTTGTATAAATTTGAAAACAAGAAATTTCTCAGGGGTAGAATTATGGGCAAGTAATTTTTTTCTCCAAACACTGTGGAAGAAATCTTCATTGTTCTCATTCTGATGAATGCATTGATACAGAGATGTCTTGATACATATCAGTGATACATCTTTGCTTAATCTTCTGTCTTCCACTGGAAACTAGAAAACCAACAAAAGGCCAAGTTATCAATATGTAGGAATTTGTCAAAGAAGAAAGTAAAAATTTACCATTTATTCAGATCATCTTGTTTGTTCTTAAATGGGCTCTACATATTTTCTGCATAATATAGCGAACTTTTATTAGTAGTCAGGAGAAAACTTAAGAGACTGTATTATTGTTTAGTTAGGAGGGATATAAAATCAATGGATTTGAGCTTTTTTTTTTTTTTTCCTGATGTATTTTTAGCTCAGGTAAGTAAATGGTGGGGAAATCTATAAAGATCCTGCTTTTTCCAACATTTGATTCTTCTGAGGTTTCGGCTGTCATGGCTGCAGCAATATAAGTTGATACCTCATAGACAGAGGAACACACACAAACCCAGAATCAAAAATACTCGTAATGCCGAGCAGGTTCTAGAAGCTGGAGACTGAGGACTCATTTGCTTGATACAAAAACTCCCAAGCTAGTGCTGGCCAGAGCTGTCCCCGTACCACAGTGCACATCTGTAGAACTAGCCTGGTCCCAAATGCATGGACAGAAGTTTGCGATATCTGGCTTTGCCATAGGCTCTGTTAACCTCGGCATCTTCAAAATTAAAATCAGAAAGGTGGTGAGTGGGAGTATTAGAAATATAAATTCTCCCCTTTGTCTTTCTAGAGCTGGAAAATTACATTTTCCTCTGTGTCGATCCCCACCTCCTAGTGCAAACAGCAGAGCCACCACAGTCTGTATCTCTCTGCTTGTTTGCTGTCATTTGCAAGGTTACCCACTGGAATACCCACTATTATAAGAAATAACCTGGCTCATCGACTTTAAAATACTTTGCAATTTAGAAGCTGTAACAGTGCAGAAAGAGTTTTTGGAGTCTTAATCTGTCTAGGTCTGTGTAGCACACCTGCAGCATCGCTGACAAACCTGCTGCTTGCATCGGTCCTGGGTCTCCCCTGAACAGGCACCACCAGTCAGTCATGTCCAGTTGAGGCTTGGAGCTGCATATGGACAGGTGTTCCCCGAAGGTGAACTTAAGCCTGTCAGGCTCATTTCATTTGTAAACCAGTGTGGGTTGGGACCAGCTTTCATAAAAGGAAAGGCTGCTTTGGACCACAGATGGATTTGAACTTCTGGAATAGCACAGCTGAAAGCTTGCACTTGTGTGAGAGAACAGTTTAACAGCAAAGTTCTCTTTCTATTCTATAAACAGTAACGTTAGGAGTGAGTTTAAGCTCTTGCATTCAATTTTTGCATTAACCTTGCTTTAAAAACAGTTCCTCTTTTCAGTTCTCTAAGGCTAATGCCACAGTGTAGTCTTGTAAGACAACAATGCAGAAAAATAATTTAATTAAACTTGAAGCTTTTTCTTCAAATGGAGCTGGAAAATATCACAGTGACATTTGTTCATAGTCCAGGGCATCATAGTACATTGATAATAGTCACAGTAGTGGATTTCCTGAATGAACCATTTTGTTAGCCAGTGCAGTGAGCAAAGGAGGACAGAAACACTAAGAGAAGGCAGATACTGGTTTGCAATTTAGGCAAATCATCAGAAGCTGCTTTTTATTTCTGTGAGATGCACCAAATCAGCACACTTTCCTGAACCTTTCATATGCCAGGCATAAGCAAGTGTTGCCCAGTTGCTTTTAGTTTCAAGAGGCCATACTGCAAAAACTCTAGTGACTTGCAAATTTCTGGGGGCTGCCAATGTTTTATAGGGTTTATTCATATATGTGAAGGTAAATTAAGCCAGCCAGAATGTTTATACACTGGAAAATTTTGGTTTGTTTTTACGTTTGTTAGCTAAAAGTATTAGTTGAACCCTGGGGTTGCCTAAAGTCTGCAAAACTTTCTGTATGTGTATCTATGTAAAAATTGTGTGTGTGTGTATATATAAATTTCTGTTTCAAATATGACTGTCTTAGAGTATCTAAAATCAAAAACATTAGCAAAATTTGTTTTCTTGATTTTGGAAACTACTAGCTATATGGGTTACATGTTTTCATCTCTAGTATCATTCTATGTATATGGACACTAAAATTGCTGCAACATAATTTTGCCTGTTAATTTACAGGTGGTGATCAGTGTCCACATGGATGCATTTGTCCACATAAGGCAGTACATCTTTCTTTTATTAATAGATGCATACTTCATTTTTATTGTATCAAAACATTGCTAATTCATTAACAAGTTTGTTTGTTTGTCCTTAATATTAGTTAAATATTTTTGTGTAATAGAGAATACAGGACTGGTTAGTAAAAACAAGCTGAAAAGAAAAACAAGACATTTTAAAACTTCTTTTCTGGAGGAAATACCCTTTGACTTTGCCCCCCAAAAGGATTAAATTTTGGTCAGTTCTGATTTCATCTGGACAGTTTTAAGTCCAGACTTGCATTTCCCTGGAGTGAAGAATGTGACACTTTGCAGGCTTATGTGTTTGAGCAGACAAAGCCTCTACTGACCTCTTTAAGTATAAGACTGAATAAATAGGATCAGACAGCCTGTCATGGGTGCACTGTAAATAAGTTCTTTAAACTGCTGTCGGTAGCAAAAAAGGAGATTTGGGGCTATGTAGGGTCTAGGATTAGTTTCTTCAATGAAAATTCAGCTCCTTGTTCTGGATTAGGATTTAGGTTGTTACCTTAAACTAATTAAGTAAAACCCAAAAGCCTCTTGAGCAGAACACAGGCAAGCTATAGGATAGAATTAACAAAGGGATATTTACACATTCAGTGGCTTGTGTCCCTTCTGTGTCCATATTTAAGGTGGACAACAGGCAGGGTTTTCAGGATGCATTCTAGGATCAGGTCATGTTTTTAGTGCTCCATAACACTGACCAGTTTTCGCAGTTACTTTTGAAATATTCCTTAGGAAGCCCTTAATTTAAGTGGCATATTTGGGGAGAATTTGAACCAAAATGGCCTGTCCAGTTCCAAAATATGATCCTCCTTTTGTTTGTCTTCCTTTATTTTCTGTCCTTATAGAGGAAGTCTTTCTGAGCTTTCCTCTGCAGCTTTGAGGGATGTGCAGCTTTTTAATGAGAAGTAAGAGTCTCATGTGATTACATGCCTACTGGGCAGGACATGAGAAGAGTACAGCAAGATGGTCAATGGAACAATTACAGTTGATAGTGCTGTGTGAAACCTGGCACTGGTCTATCAGAAGGGTTGCTTTAATGGAATAATTTTGAGGGTGTAGGGGTTTCAGCTCTGTGGAATCTCATTTTCCACATCCTGGTTATTTTTCTCTTTGCTTAGTGGTTCAGAGGAACTTGGAATTTCCCAGTGAAGCTCAGTGGCAATCACTGCACCTTAACTGATGCATTGCTATGTCTGTAGAATTTTGGGAGACAGTGTTATTATGTTAAAAATACGTTCACGCGTATCTTGGAATCTGTGTCATTCAAATAACTTGGCATATTTCAGAAATCTGGCCAGAATTTCAGGTTTATAGCAAGGGCCACCACCAGGCAAAACATGTCATTTCAGATTAATCCTCTTGAACATCTGTAAGTCACTGTCCTTTACTCAAGTGTGTGTATAACAAAGAGGGTGATTGGACACAGAGCGTAACTGCGCTGAGTCTGGTTTCCATGTGTGCTTACGAAAGTTGTGTTCAGAGTAACTATAAAAGTGAACACTGGAACTTGCATTTATGCTTCTCAGTACTTCCTAGTATTTGTAGTGTCTTCAAGGATGGGATTTTGAAGTTGTGCAGTAGGTTGAAGTTTGTGTTCTATTGGTTTTCCCTGTCTTGACCATAGCTGCTGCTTCTGCGGCTCCCTTATGACATCTGTTGTGAAATGGCAAATGACCTTTTCAGAGAAGCCCTTTCCAGTTATAAAAGGGAAGACATCACCTCTTCAGTTATAACCGATAGCCAAGTTTTGTTTTGTAGCGCTGCTTAAAAATATATCAAAAAGTTCTGAAGAGTATTGTTGAAAAACTATAATAGAAAATGCTTAATCACAGTGACGCAGACAGCTAATGCATACCTCCAGTGATCATCTATAAATATGTCGTGATGCTTGAATTTTTAATGAACTATTTGCATTTCAGTTTGATGAAGCTTGATTTATCATTACACAATTTGCTCATTGGCTAAATATTCCAAAATTGTGGTGTTCTTACATTGTCACTTTCCTATTTATTGTTTTTTTATATTAATAGCTCTTACATATTTCTTTTCATTACAAAAATCTCAAAGCTCTTTACAGGCAAAGGTAAGTCTCGATTACTTGTGTTACTGACATGGCAAAGTTAAAGAAGAAAAAGGTGAGGGGATTTATTCATAGTGACACAAGTCAGAAGTCGGTAGCAGAAGTAGAAACACAACCTGTGTTAGCTGTCTCCAGCTCAGTATTCATTCCTTGCCAGCATATAGCTCCTGAAAGCAGTGTTGGAGACTTGTAGCTCAGTGCAAGAGGCAGCACAAATACTGTGTTTATTGAAAAAAATCCTGGAGTTCATATAAATCTAATTATGTTTTTTTTCTTTTTTTCTCATTTTGGATATTTTGTTCATCTGTCTGGCCGGCAATTTTTAGAAGAAATGCATATTCCTACTCCTATTACTTGTAAGTACTTGGCTGGGAATGACGTTTCTTGAGTGTACTCACCCTGTGGTAATTTTGTGCTTTGTCATATTCTTTTGTTTTACCAATTTTATCATTCCATTTATCCTTGTGGTTTATTTTCTCCATTTCACACTGTTATGTTTTCCCTGTTTTACCATTGCACCTGTAACTGTGCCTGCAAACACATACATGTCTACAGATAGATCAGTTATGGTTTATAGTTCTTCAAATGCTAATGGACAAATACCGAGTGTCCAACTGCACCTTTTTTAATTGTCCATTTTATTTAGCCAGACTGCAGGAAAATTCACACCTGAAAGTTATTGTTGGGAATTTCTCATCCATGGATATAAGCTTTTTAAAAATGTAAGGTTTCTCACAACTAGGACTTCACATTATCTCAACAAACATCCCTGCTCCTGGAGTTGCCAGGTTCTGAGTGTCAGTTTAGACCATTAGATGATGAAGTGGTTCAGATATTCAGATCTAAATCACCTGTCCAGTCCTAATGACAATGCTGCATAATTAAGGCAGTTGTTAAGGTGCATGAAAATTCTTCACACATCAATACTTCCAGAGCCATCTGTTGTCTAAAGATCGAGGGGCTGGAGAGTAATCAGGGCCAAGCTGTTTCTGTCATGATAGTAGTTGTCTGAAGATCAGGAGGAAGAGAGGACTGTGTCAATGATCTGAGGAAAGAGCCCTAGAGAATTGAGTTGGATGCCTTTGCTGCCACCAGAGGGTTGGAAGGGATAGAGAAGGCAACTGTGACTGCCGAGAGAAACAGGTCTCCCCAGTTCATAACTGTAAATGCAGAGTAACTCCATTTCCTGTAGACTTCACACCAAGAACTTAAGTAGTCAAATTTCAAGAGAAGTTTTACTGAGTGTTAAAGAAGAGGGGACAGTTTTAAGACATAGATGCTACTAGCTAGTTGCATTTCTTGGTACAACCTTTCCTCTTCTGCACATTTCTCATGAACTTCAGGAAAGTGCCCTTTGCGCTCTTCTACTGTTTTGGTTTCCTTCAACCACTCAGCACCATTGCCTGAAAAATTCAGTCCCTAGTTTTCCGTTATAATTTTATGTCCTTCCAGCAGGCAGTATGTGGTCAAAATGTTCCCTGCTGTATTTTATTTTGAGATTTGTGTATTTAAAAAGATGAATCAACTTCTGAGCCTTGTGTGACCCCTTTCTACAACTGCACGACATTGTTTTAAGCAGTCAGCTGAGGATTACTCTGCTACAGAGACAGTGAGGGTATCATTAAGCAGTCTCTGTGCTGTCTTGTAAGGGCTCTTGTGGTCTTTTGTCAAGGAACTGGAGAGTGTCTCAAGAAAAGAGAAGAGACAACCTGTGGAGGTCACCTAAGCTCAACGTTGCCTTGAGCTTCAGCAGTAGCAGAAGCAAGTGCTTTAATAAGATTTAATAAGGCAGATGTACACCATGAAGCATATCATCAGACAAGTTTATGTATTCATATCAGCCCACTGAAGCACTTGATGGAGATACAAACTCAACATACAAAAATCTTATATCTCCCTAGTACTGCACCCAACTTTTTTTGCAGAGCGCTCTGTACTTAACGGTGTCCCAGGTGCCCCATCAAGCATGACCTCTGCTAGCTGGAGCATCAGTGTAGTAGAAGTAACACATAAAGAGTAATCACACAGTAAATACTTCCATCATCAGGCTGTGCATGTCAGCATTTGGTTTCAGATTGACATTTGGCCTGTCCCCTGATCTGGTAAAACCAAGCTCTGTTTGGGGTTTTTTTTGTTTTTTTTCCCTGAGCAATAGTCAAGGTACAAGGGATGTTTCAACAGTGAGGAAAGAAAGCAGGAGAATCCATGAAGGAGCGTATGATGAAGTTTTATTGAGTTTCAGGTTTCACGTGAAATAGGATGTTTTGTTGTGATTGCAGGTGAAAATCTTAAATGGCTAAGGACTGTGTAATTCTTAACCAAAGCTGGTAGAAATTGCTACAACCTCTTATGAGCAGAGAGATTTAAGTTTATTTGAAACATGAAATCAGAGCAGCAATATGTGTATGTGAATATATATATATTTAAGTAGAATTGGTTTCCATTCTATGACCTTGTATGAATGTTTTAGTCCTGAAGCAAAATTCAGTTGGATGAGTTGCCAGTATTGAAAAGCAGATTCTCAAATAGATCTGCTGGCAGACCTTTAAAGCCAACCATATGGACTACATCACTTTATTTTTAGTTTCAGTTTCTGGACTTCAAAGTTGTGCTTCTTAGAGTAATTCTCATCTGCTTTCAGATAATTCCTCTCAGCTCTTTGTCATCTGCTATACTGGCATTTCTTCTTGTTAGGGACCAAAATCTCCTACCCTAACTCTTCTAAACTGTTCTTAACGATATGTCGATTATAAAGTCAGGAAGACTTATATCATATTTCTTACAGAGATGAGCCACAAGCATTGCAGTAATCTTTAGACTGGAGTTCTGCCTTCAGCCTGTCTTGTGTTCTGCTGCAATCCCAGCACTGTAAAATCTGATTCTGTAAGATGGTTGAGTACTTGCAGCTTCAGTGAAACAGAAGTCAAAAATACTCATTTGTAAGAGCAGCTCTTTTAGCCATTTTGTGCATACATAGTTATGGGTAGATAGTTATGGGATTTTTGTATAGCATCACTTAATTAAAAACTTCCTACAACATATAGGAAGGGATATTATTGTGGCTGAAAGAGAAGGGCATAAAGATCTGTAACATGTCTTAAGTGGAAATAGAAATCCAGGAGTCCTCTATTTCTAACTTGCTAGGTCATTGTGCAGGATTGACATCATTTTATGTACTTCTGTTTACCCATCATTAAAAGTTAGTTACTTATGATTTGAGATCCTTGAACAGAAAATGGTTTTGTGATGGGAAGAGAAGGATGTGGAACTAGGAGCTCCTGTCCTGGTGCACTCACTGCATCACTGTCGCCAGGGTGACGCATGAACCTTTTCAGGGGAGTTACTCTGTATTTACACCAATACAAATGTCTGAGGTTTGTACAGAATTGCCAGCTCTGTCACACTGCACTTAAGTTTAATGCATTGTAAGATATGATGTGCAATGTAAGATAGCAACCCATCCACATCTGAAAGTTTCTGTTCTTTTTCCTAGCTGAAGCTGTAAAACACAGACAGCAATTTATCCAGTTTAAAGGAGGTTTTGCATTTAATGACAGACACCTCTTTTGCAGCAGTATTTTCAGCTGCAGCAAGCCCTATCAAGGCTTTCTTATTTCCTCACCAGGAAAAGGAATTGAGATGTTTTCTGTGTGCGGGTTGTTTTGTTTTATTTCTTTCTCCTGGGCTGGGTAATGGTTGCAGAATGAAATTTAATCAAGAGTGGTATCAGACCAGAGGAGTATTTCTGGAAATACATAGACTTGTGTATGTGTTACAAGCACTCGGTTTAATGTTATTTATAAGAAAAGGGCACACAATGGCCAGTATGTTGTTCTCCTTTTCCCCTGAACTGGACAGAATACTGAGGATGCAACTGCAATGCAGGAAGCCCCTTCAACTCCTATCATAATTTCACATCAATTTTAATTGTGGTGGTGGTTTCAGTTTCTATTCACAGGAGAGGTTCTGTCAGAGGTATTCAGCTAAATTTATGTTGCATTTTCTGAAATAACAGAGTTTGTGCTGAATTTATTTCCACCGTCTGTGGGACATTTGAAAAGAAATAAAACATTATTTTATTTATAGGCATACTTCTGTATAACCATATACATACATAAGTATCTCCATATATTTTCCATGGATGGTGGGATCTGCCTGCACAGGTCAGCTTGCTAAATCAAAATTTAAGAAGAAACTGGTATCTCATTAGCTGCTGGAAAAAACAGAATCACAAATCAATGGTTATGCCAGCCTAATGAAAGCAAGGAAAAAAAAATATAATTAAAATCCAGAAAATGAGGGAGATTTTATTTAGAACATGTCTGGTGATTGCAAGCCTAAACTTTGCAGAGGGTGGTGTTTGCTGGCTGTCTGTACCAGCATATACTGTATGGCTCTTACCTGCACCTGTCTTTGAAATTTATATGGTTGTAAGTAAATGTCCTCCACAAATAGTGATTAATTTGATCAAGTAAAGCTTCGAGAGCATAGCCCTACCTACATTTTTCAGGATTCCAACTTTGTAGACATACAGTAAAAAATAGAGCATCTTTTAACTTTTATCTATGTTACATCACTTTCTTGTGTCAGGTGATGTTTGTTTGTAAGTAAAAGTGGTGCAGCTGGTCCTTACTCTTCACCTTCAGCTTGTGAATTAATTCCCTCTACTTGCCGCAATAACCTGCTCAGCGTTTGGCTTCACCATGGCAGCCGATAAAAAAGTGCTGGTAAAACTGTCTACACCTGCCTGTAAGTGGAGGATTTGCCCTTATAGTGGCTGTAAGAAGCAGTAAGCTGCCTATGTTCTTAGGCCAGAGAATATTTCTCAGCTCTGCTGAGGTTACAGTCTGCACAAAGGCAGCGTGTGCTGAGCTGCAGTCTTAGGCAGGACCGTGGGAGCACGGGAAGGATACCCCACCTGCCAGGCTGCCAGAAGCCTGTACTGCTTTTAGCTCTCCTTCCTCTTGCTCTCTGTGTAAAGACTTTTAGTGACCAAGGTTTCACAGCCTGCCTGCCCACTCAGCTTGAGAGATGGGCAATCTCTACTGCACAGAGTTTTCCCAAAGTTTAAAATGAACTGCCCTTCCTATAGCTTAGCCCTGCTGCTTTTTTCCCAGCCCCTGTAGACAGGGAGAACAATTTCCTTGTGGTGTTTTTTTATATGTTTGAAGACCTATCAGCCCTATTTAATTTTCTTTCTCTAGATTAAAGACTCATATTTCCTTTGGCCTTTGCTTGTTGGTCATATTTTCTAGATTTACCTTTCTTGTTCTGCCTTTGTATGTGTGCCTTTGACACCCATCTTATTTCAAGTGCAATATTGCAGCAGAGGCCTTACTGATCTTTGGTTGGAGCAAAAGGCTTACCTGTGGCTTGCACACCGTAGTGCCATGTATAATCCCTCCCTTATTTTTACACCAGCATGAAACTGTTCTTCCAAATTGAGTTTGTGATTTAGTATGGGTTTAGGGGACAGAGATCCTTTCCAATAGAACTGCTGTTTAACCAGTGCTCCCAGTTGGGTATTTGCACAGCTGATCACTGCCTTAAATTTGTGCAGATTTCATCATAAATAACACATGTGCTCCTAGCAGGCTGCTGCGCACAAATATCTAAAAGGAATTGTATTTTGTAGCTTCCTTAAATTGCTTATTGAAAATTAGGGCAATATGCAATTCTTGTCTGTAGGAGGAAATTTCATGTTTAACTTACGTGATCTATACCTAATGTCTAAATTACCTGTGCATGCAAATCTACATTATAGTGTATATAATCCATCCTTGTGAAACATCTAAAATTAAATCTGTCAACGTACAAGAGCTCTTTTAAGAGTGGCAGTTACAGATTTAACATTCATGCATGTAAAATTGGTATAAAAAGTTAGAGATGAGTTTGAAGCTGTGTTTAAAATATAATCCCTGACGTTTATCCAGACCTCTGCAAAACAGGGATCCGATCCTGCAGATACTTCGTTAACTGAAAATGTTGCTTGAGCTTTCAGATTAATGCCCATGGCAGTAAACGCTTTGTACTTGATACTGTTTGCATTCCTTGACTATTAAACTGGAACGCCCACAATTTTGTTATAGTGCTTCAGCATTTTATATCTATTCTCTCTGATAGCAGTAGAAGTTTCAAAAATAGCTGAATCAAATCTCCATCCTTTTTTTTTTTTTTTTTTCCAAAATTCACACTTACTTTAGGTTCACTGCCAACAGTTCTTATCCTTACTTTAGTTGGGTTAGCTTCAACTGCCTGATTATACAGCTGGTTTCATTTTTTTTATTCTGCTTCAAGCATCTTTCTGTCTCATCCCTCCTGTGTGTGTATAGTGCCTGTAAACATCATCTCTTCATTCACAAACACTCTTGAACTGAAAAGGTCAACCCAGTAACCCCCATCCATGGACCCCGGTTTTCTTCGTTGCACATTTTCCTTACACTTAAATGTAAAATGGCCATTAATATCACCTTATTCACCTTTTGACATTTCAGTCTCTTCACCCTGTGTTGACTGTATCAGAATCTTCTTCCAAATATCTGCCTGATCTCTTACTTCTTCCCCTTCCCAACTGCATAATGCATGAGATGCAAAGTGTCTTCTCGGTGCCTGGTGCCAGACGGTGCTGGGTACGTGCTGGCCCATCAGTGACACTGATGCACTGATAGCAGCTTCATCCGGGTGTTGCAGTGGTTGTGTTTAGGGGAGGCTGGTCAGTAAGGAGAGCAGGAGCCGTGTCACTGATGCAGCTTGTCAGTGGTGCCCTATTTTTGGAAACAGCACTTCCAGATAAATGCTTTTCCAATTCCAAAGACATTTTGACATGCTGGGAAATAAACCTCTACCTAGCTGTGGGTTTAAGTCACATCCCTAACATTCTAGAAAGTGCTAGTCATTTGATTTCATAATCCTTTCAATGAACTATAATGATGGTAAGGACCAAATAGGCTTAGTCCTGTGCTGCCACTCTATCCAGACACGTAACGGAGGCAGAAAAGGCACATTTAGAAGCCGAGAGCCCCTTGATGTGTCTGGCAAGCTTAGCTCTGAAATCCTCAAAAGAGATCTGTCTTCCTTTTCCCTCTAAATTTAGATGAAGAATTTTTACATTCTTGGAATAGAGAGGGAGAAAGGTGGAAATTGATAACATGCTGTTGAAAGAAAATTGTAGCGTTTTCAGATGCAGAACAATTTTCTGTGTGGCTTCTCTCTGAACATGCATAAGCATTAGCTGGTCCACCTGTGAGCAGCCTGGTTGTGTGTGCGAGTTAGATTGAGAACTTTAAACTCATGTCACCTTTTCTTTTTAGGCATTCAAGCCAATGTTTTAGGGGCCTCTCTGTCTTCTACAGGACCAGGTAGAACTGCTTTGCCTAGGGCTTTTGTAAGCAGGCCTGTGGGGACTAATGGGCTTGGGTTTGGGGTTATTTTTTCCTGCCTAGAACATGCAGAAATGTTATTGCTCATTCAATGAAAGAGAAAATGAGCTTGCCAGTTCCGGCTCTTTGCAGCTTGTTGGCATCCCTGAAAAGATACCAGGCAATGGGATTTACAGATAATGATTGCCACAAATAATTTAATCTGGATCTAATAAGGAAGTCACCCTTTTTGACTCACCGTTTTTAAACATCAGTAGTGGTCGTCTGTAATGGCTCACCCCAGCAGTCCAGAGTGCTTGTTATTAAGGACTTTGGCATTTTGGATTAGTGTTTCCCACTGAGAAATTTTAATTCCTGTGGCCAAAGAATTCACATAGCCATGTATGATTAGCAAATCTAAAGGATTAAAATAACCACCCAGCAGGGTTAATACACTTCAAGACTATTGTTGTTACCTCAGGTACCACAGCACAAAAAAAGGGGGCTCCCATGGTGCAGCTCATAGTTAATAAATCTGACTGTGCTAACATTGCTGAACACTGGAAGCAAGGCTTTTAACATCATTAAATGCCAGCTTTTTGCTTCATCACTCAAGGACAGTTTCTCTGTTTGCATCTTCATCTGCAGAAGTGGATATGCCATGGAGATTTTGTGAGATCTAAATATGCACTCTGTAATTATGTACCCAATTTGAATAGCTATTGGGTTGAATTGAAACCACTAACTGTAAAAGCCTCAACTGGTTGAGCAGATGAAACAGATGTATTTGTTCAAAAGTTTGCATCAGACATGGGATATTTCTCCGTAAATGTGTGCTTTCCTGGTGTGGGTTATCAGCTTGTCTTAAAATAGTAATTTCCCACAGACATAGGCAAAGGTCTTAGTTCTCTTTGACCCTTCCTTGCAAATGAGTGTAAATGGCCTAGCTACCCATCTCACGAAGGGCTGGGGCTCAGCTGTGTGCTTGAACTTGCTTGTAAATGCCACTCTGACATGTGCTGTGAATAAATAAAGCCTGTTGGAATATGTTGCAAGGAATATCCTTTTAAGAATCTAATGAAGTTTGAAAGATGGGTAGGACTTACCATAAGCATGTCATTTTAGTGAAGAAAAACCTCTTTGGAAAATGATTTAGTTGTTAGGATTTTTTTTTTCTTTGAGTTGGAGAAAAAAAGAAAACTAAAGCTCCTTCTTACAGTAATCTGTTTTTCTCCCTTTTATTTTGTTTTATTTTCTTATCTACGGAAGACGTGTAAGCAAAGTTCTTTGCTGGTACTAGGGATTTGTGTGATATTTTTTCAAGGTGTGGGGTTTTAGAATGTCACACATTCATTTTTAAACAGTTTTGCACTCTGATATGAATGAAGCACAGGGCAGTCAAATTTCAATGGAAGCTTAGCAGCTCACTTTTTCTGCTTCTCTCCATTTTCTTATTATTAACTGTGTTTGCAAAAGAGGAGCCTCTTATGTTCTTGGCTTTGTTAGTGTTTTCAGAGCAGGCAGTGTTTCTGCTTCTGCTGACGTTTTTGACATCTCCTCAAAATAAGACACATTTTCCCAGAACAGAGGCATATTTGGACATTTCTAAGATAACCTCAGCCTTTAATTTGCCCCACCCTTCACTGGCTGTCAATCCTTAGTGCAGTTTGGGTGTGTGTCAAAGTTCAGTAGAGGCTGTTGTCCTCATTGCTCTGCGTGGAGACAGGGCAGAACTCCAGCTCCAGCTCTCAGGTTGCACAAAGCCAGGTCACACTCTCCACCGAAGCACCCAGAGGAGCTCCCCGGTGCAGGTGCCCCCGTGGGATGGATCCAGACATCCCATTTGCCGCCCTCACCCCTGCCCTCTGCTCTCCCTGGGGTGGCTGACACCCGCTCCAGGGGCTTTGCCTATGCCACCCTCTTCAAGGATGACGTAGCACTCCTACTGCTGGGGTGATGCAGGTTTGTGCAAGATAAGTTACTGGGAGGGACAGCTAAGCTCAAAGACTGGTATCACTCTGTTTATTGTTACTCCACAACAGTTATATTAAAAAGTTGTGGGGTTTCCTCTCATGCGGCTTACCACATGCCCTGCATGTCTGACCAAGTGGGATAAGTGTGGTTTTTAAAATATTTTGTCATTGCTTTGTTTTTAATGAGGGAAAACTGACCTTAATTTCTCCCCTCTTCAAAATACCCTAAAGGAAGCTAGCCAAGAAGCAGAAGGAGACTCAGACCAGCACACAGAGGGAGATGGGTCCCGTGGCTACTTCCGACAAGACCTCTACCAAACTCAGTGCTGTTCACAATGAAGAAGCTTTTTCTTCCAGCTGCCAAGATGTTAATGGATTCAGTAAGTTTAACTTGCTTGCAATGGATATGTCCCCCTTGGAGAGCTCTAGGTTCTTAAAAGGACCTATTCCTATGGGCACAATATTGAGGAGCTAGGAATTACAGTGATAGAGATCGTTGCAAAAGCTTGATAGAAATCAGTTGTCTGTAGTGTCTCCAACACTGCCCCTATTTTAACTGTCAGATAGGTGAAGAGCTTTCCTTCTGGCTCTAAATCTACTGAGAATAATTTTTAAAGTCTGTTCTAATAACTACATCAGACAGTCAAAAGGCACATGTTTATTTGTTCTACAGAAATATTTTTTCCTTTGTGCGTAGAAGAGTTGAATGCAATCACTTAGCTTACTTGTAGGATGAAATACCATTTTCTGTATGAAATTGTTATGAAAGAAAGCATGGTTTAGAGAACTGGTATGGAAAGACAGTGTTTCTTCTTTTGTCTGTGTCCTTGGTTAATTCCTCACACGAGTTCAGTAAAATTAATCTTAGTTAATACTTGTAAACCACGCAGACATCTGTAGCTGGAAGAGTTTTGTGAGTAAAGCGGCACAAAGTCATACTTTTTGTCATACTAGCCTCACTAGATCCAGATTGAGTGCATGGTGGATTGCATGGTGGATTTGTAAACTTTTTCGTATTAAATAAATTTTAACTTAGACACTATGGGAATGTCACTTTTCTTTTGACACTTAGTCTGCTAGTTTGAATAGGGAACAGCTCTGAAACATGGGTACATACTAAAACTCTTCTGTCTTTCTTAAAACATCTTTAGTGAAGTGTTCTTTTCCCCTAATTACTAACATCGAAGTGCTTACAGTACAGAATATGTTTTATCATTGAAACCTTTCTTTGTAATCTCAGATTGATTGGGACAGGCTCAGTGAATTCTTCTTTTCCCTCTAGCTATGGGTCATGTCAAATTCCATCTGCATGTGTTGCTACTGCCACTCTGTGTAACATACCAGTGAGATGGATAAATAGGTGTTTGGGACCATCAAGGCTAGCAGTGAAAGTGAACACATCTCTCTGATTTTAAATTGACTTGAGTCAAGATCTAATTTTCTCAGGTGCTGAGTAGCTATATCTACTAAAGAGACAGCAGGAGTTGTCAGTGGTTCATATCTTTGAAAGATGGGATAGCAGAGGACAGCATTGTAACAGGCATCCTAGAAACAGCAAGGTAGCTTGTTTAAAATGTATGGGGAAAATGAAGCTTTTAACACTTTCTTCAGAATCTGGATTTTTAAAAGTTCGGGGATTTTTTTCCAGCCAGAAAATAAGAGAAGAGATGAGCTTGAAATGTGGCCTCATTTTTTTTTTCCCCTTGGTATTTTGAGAGACTAATTAAAATAGCTGAGTCATTTACTTGAAATGGCAACTATAGAAAATATGTTGTATCTAATTTTGTAAAAAAGCATCCCTCCAGGTTTGGGGTTTTTTTAATCAGTTAGTCCTTTGCTTGTTTGACATCACTGCAGATTTTATCACTACCTCCCTCTGTAACACAGCCCGAGTGAAGTCATGGGTCACTTCTTTTCTTTTTTCCTCTTTATACCCATGAGAAACAATTACCAGTAAGCCTTCATGATTTCTCCAACTTTTTTACTGCCAAGCCCAGGATGCTGAGGTGTTGGAGGTAAGTTCTCTTCTGTGAAGTAGTGTACACATGCTGATACAGGAATTTTATGGGTAAAAGACTGTCTTTTTAAAAAATTGCCTTAATAGAGTTTAATGCTTGAGGGTTTCTATACAGGCTTACTCTAACTTTGGAATAACATAATAGGATTACTTCTTAACCTTCCTGCTAAATAATGGAGTTTTACAGGAGGTTATCCATCCTAGCTTTTGGAATCAGCTGTCTGTCTTAAGCAGCAGTCAGATTCCTTCTAAAATTTTTCTTTTGCCTTCCAACAGTGAGTAACATTGGCAGATACCTCAGGATAGGTAGCCATCCTCTCTGTCTTGACCTCAATTATGGGATCTCAAGTTGGCTTTAGTAGTGACATGGAAATATCCCTCTCTTTTTTGAAGAAAGTCCACCAAGAGAAGCTAAGCATTTTCAATTCCAAGATCACCTTGTTATCTCACAAAAGCAATAAAATAGAACAAGACAGCTGGTTAAGTAGGATACCTCACAATTATTGAACAAATTGCAAACAAGTTTATCTCCAGATGACAGTGTCCTTGCAGGGCATGTGTCCTTCTCTCCAGTTTTTCCTTCCTGTCTCAATAATTCTAATGACTTTTTGGGCAGAAAAAATTAAGTAAGTCCCTACAGCTGCCCCCCTGCTACAGCCTCCCCGTTTACTGCCTGCAGCACTGTCACCCCACAGGGAGCTTCCACCTGACAGGTCCAGCAACTGTAAAGCATGCTGCCTGGTGCTGTGCATCATGAAAGACATCACAGATGAGCAACTGTCTTTATGCTTATCAGCCCCTCCTTCTCTGAGGAGACACAGGCCTGACCACTGATACAGCAAGTCTTAATAAAATCTGCTGTGTAGTAACAGTGGTTCTTTCACCACTGAGAGTTACCATCCTCCTGTCTCTGCTGTTGGTAAAAATGCAGATTTCTTCACATACTCTCTCTCAGTGCTTTAGGGGAAAATGCTTGTATTATCAGTATAAACTCATACAAATGGCATCATCCGTAAAGTCACTGCTGTTTGGGTGCAACAGAGTCCTTGACAAGGCCAGTGCAGTGCTCAGGAGCACACAGGCCTGTTGGACATTTATAGTTTTGAATTTTGTCATTTGGCAGAGGTGTCCATTATCAAATGTAATTACATTCTGGAAGATCTGTATCCGGAACGGGGAGACCTCAGGTCTTGCTGAAAAGTGGAAGAGAAATGGGCATTTATCTTTCCTGGCCCCTCATCCCTCTTTCTATTCTACAATATTAGTCGTTACTTCGGCAGAATTCTCACTGGTACATATTGGAGTTTAAACTGAAGAGATTTTGTGGACTCAGCCTCTGTCTCTGACACCATATGGAATCAGATAAGGTGTTTGCTGAAAGACAGATCAGTCCATGACTATTCCAGCTTGTCTGGTTTTACCCAGGGATTATGTGGAGGTGACGCAGGCTCATCATAGTTGTTCATTTTCTCAAATATCTTGCTTCCTAAAAAATAAAAATACATCCTAAGTCCATTAAAAGTAGCTGATGGTACTTGCAGTGTTTGAGCCTGATCCTCAGTTTGCAGGACTGTTTGGGAAGCAGTGGCGTTTTCCTCTGAGTGACACAGCCCAGTCACTTGTAGGCATTGTTGTTGGCAGGGTTATTGTGAAAGGAGATGACAAATTGGAGACAAGGTGGGCCTATAATTGCCCACCAGTATCTGTGCACTGACCAGAAAGGGTGTGCAAGGCACTGTTATTGCACATAAATTGTGCGCAGTTTGTCAGCCCGTCCATGTGATGGGAGAAGCAGTAGTATATCATTTCAGCAGTGATGCACTAATGTTCATAGAATCATAGAATACCAGGTTGGAGGGGACCACAAGGATCACACGGTCCAGGTCCAGCTTTTCTCAGCAAAAGCAGGGTCTAGACAAGATGGCCCAACACCCTGTCCATAATGGTATGTCCTGCACAAAGGAACTGATCTTCTGGCTTTGCAGTGCTAAAACACCATGGACTGAGCTTATCCAGGAGAATGCCATGTCACCAGATGGCAGTTTTGCTAGAGACTGATTTATTAGGGTGTGCTTAATTTTTATGACATCTCAGTTTGGGAGGAGACTGCTTTCCAGACAGCCTTCAGGAGTGAGTCTGATACAGGTTAGGGAGGTGGCTTTAATGTTACAGTCAGAAGCACAATTTGAAGACAGCATTTGGGAAGTTGCAGGGAACTGAATTTTGCATTAGTGGGCACTGCTCTGCAGTTACCACGTTAGTACCTTTGCTAGTGCGATCAAGGAGTTAAGAGGAAGATGTAGGTAAGTGGCACTCAGGGCATTAAGGATTGCTTTTAACCAAGAAACATCTAAATTTACACCTTTCCATATCCCGCATGTTTTTGTGATGAATGAAATGCAAAGGTGTTCAGATTTGCTGTAAGTCACAACAGACAATTACATCAAAATCTGGTCTTTTTCCTACCCCATAGATAATTTTCACTCTTAGTTAGGTTATTTGCTAAATGCAGTCCAAGGACTTGTGGGATCAGGACTGTGAGATGTTTTCTTTAGTGAAAAATTCTAAAATTAATTTAAAAATTAAAAACAGAGCCACAATTCATCAAAGGCATAAAAGGGAAAGATATCAAAATCCCTTTTACAGGTTTTCATGCTGGTTTGGGGTTTTGGGGGGGGGTTGCTAGTTCAGGAAAATCTTACAAAAAATGAGAATAATTTTCAGAATAGAAAGGAGCTTCCACCATTCTGCATGACTAGAGGGATCTGTGTGGCCTCACATGCCTCTCTAGGGAGTACAAAGAGAATTTTTGATGAAATCTTAATCTCTACTCTGATGTGAAATCCTCTCTGGAAGTGTTTCTTGTGAAACTAGTGCTTGTAAGAACCTCTGGTTAGGAAGCAGCACTGCGTATACATCTCTCATGATACAAGCCACCACCTGACTGATTTGGGGAATGACCCCTCCAAAGTTCTGGGAAACTTTTTTGGTGGGGATTTTTACCCCCGTTTTTCTTCTGAATCTAGAAATAACCTCCTTGTCTCACAAATACAGTTAATTTAATAAACCTCAGTTGGTAACGTTCTTAATCAAACTCACTGAAGTGAGGTGTATATCTTCAGCTGCTGAGTAATTTATCGTTAGCAATTCCTGGAAAGGCAGTATGGCCCAGTGAGTTCTTGTATACTCCCAAATTTCAGAAAATCTGTGTCCTGCTCCACGCCCTGACTTTTGACTTGCTCAGTGACCCTGGGCAAACAAAGTACTCATTTTAGACCTTATTTTATGTATCTGCAAAAGTGACCATGTTCTAAGCACAATAAGAGGAGGGTCTGATTTAGGCTGACAAATGCAGGGGGAAAAATATAAGAGGCCCCAGAGGAGAGATGCTTTATGGCTTGAAGGCAGCTGGGGCAGAACTCCAGCAGACTAAGCTTTGAGATATTTGATTGTTTTAATGTGTTTTCAAGTGGTGTAAGTCTGAAAATATGGTGGGAGAATGACAGTGAGTTCATTTACTTGATGATTATAAACTGCTTGGGAAATAATTCTGCTGAGTTTATGAAACTCCCTAGACTAGTGACTACTTCTTTCATTCACCCCATAGAATAACTTGAAATTTTTAAGTGATGTTTGCTCTAGAGATACAAAAAATTGCTTCTGAAATTACTTTGATGTACACTGAGTTTTATCTACTTCTACTGGATTATGGAATAGTTTTTCCTGTGTTATCTATTGTCATCTTTCTGATGTACTGAGATTTGCATTAGCTTGTTTCCCAACATTTTGAGGAGGAGGTAAATAAATGCCTGTAACTCTAAGTGTGAATGCAGAATGATAACAAAAGAATATGCCTTCAGAAATGATGGATTACTGTAAGAATGTACTGTATTGCAGATATAAACCAGCCTCATAAATTTACTCTCAAGAAATGAGTCTACTGTGAAGATGTTGAGCCCTACCTCCTTTCCATAAATATTTGATTAATATGGAAATAATTTCTGGATTCGTGTCCAGAGAAAGCTAACGTTTTAATGGGAGAAAGGAGGGATGCTTGTCCTGCTGAAAGAACACATCTCACAGGGGAAAGGATTACAGGATTTGCTATGAACAGTCCTGGGTTGAAGAACAAGTCCCTCGTTATCTTGTATTGTTTTAACAAAAATATTGCTACCCTACCTGTGTATTTTTGCGGTACTAGTGTACATTGTTTGAGCAGGCTTATTTTACTGTTAATACTGCATTTGAGTCTCTGTAGTTTGTATTTTGGGGGTTGTTTTTAAGGGTCTTTCTTCTCGAGACAAAACCACAAGTTTGTACCTTTTGTTAAAAAAAGGATATCTAGAATATAGTCCCACATGTGTATCCTATGTAAGAACACATTGATTTACAATAACTATAATACTATATTTGGGGTCTGGAGTGCTTATATTAAAGAAAATCCATCATGATGACAATGTAATAAATGTAATATGCATGTTGAGATGAAAAATATAATTCATTTTGATAAGCCTTATATATCCCATATTACTGAGTTCTTTGAGGAACATTCTCCCTGTTCTCTTTCTCTCTCTTAATATATGTCTAAAGTCTTTTCCTTATGTCTTTCCTACCTAGCATCACCCTCTCCTTGTTCATTTTCTGTCCAAAGCAAAACCCTTCAGAGCAAATCTTTGTTGAATTCCTACTACTCAGGTACTAGTGCCAGACTTTTCTTTCATTTCTAAATTTTCTTTGCTTTTGTACGTTTCCCAATATGACCTATAGACTGAATGTTCTGAGTGTGAGATATGGCTAACCTTGTTTTCATTTTTTGTAACTTTTTTTCCTATTGATCTTCTGTTGATTTCCATTGATCCGTGTCGTGTGGGTGAACGGAATTCCATCTCAAAGTATCATCAGACACTGTTCCATCGACCACGCTGTTAGGTAAGAAGACAGGTATGGCATACTGCACTTCATTGGAGAGCAAACACACTCATTGTGTCTTGAAGACAACTTGGAGAGAGTGCTGTTAAGTGGCTGGGCTCCAAAATCATAATTAATCCTGTGGTCATGTGTTGTGTTAATTAGAAAGCTTTTTGTTTTACTCATGCTTCATTATTGCTATTAATTGGTCTATTTTATTTTAAAGGTAAGAACAGTTCAAAAATTAAGGTTTCGGGGTTCTATCAAGTATTCATTGTTTCTTTTTGTGAATGGAATTTGACATTTTGTGCCAAATTCTCATGTGCCGCCTTGCCTTCGGTTTAGTTTTAACTCACATAGGTTGTTGTGCCTGTGCAGCTGGCGTAGGATCATAGAATGGTTTGGGTTGGAAGAGACCTTAAAGATCATCCAGTTTCACACACACACACACACACACACACATTCACACACCCCACCACGGGCAGGGACACCTTCCCCCAGCCCAGGTTGCCCAAAGCTCCGTCCAGTCTGGCCTTGAACCCTTCCCGGGAGGGGGGAGCCACAGCTTCTCTGGGCAACTTGTCCCAGTGTCTCACAACCCTCATGGTAAAAAACTTCTTCCTTATATCTAGTCTGAATCTACACCCTTTTAGTTTAAAACCATTACCCCTTGTCCCGTGAGTGAGGCTCAGCTCCAAACTGCCTCAAGACTTGCAAATTTAAGTGAGGACTTGTGTGTCCTAAGCAGGTGGGAGCCTACAGTTTTGGACTCAGTTGCAAGTATAAAGGTTATTTGGAGAAATTAGAAGCTGGGTTTGGGCAGGTGGCCCCACTTCATTCAGTGTATGCTGAGAGTTAAATGCTAAATATTCAAGCAGTCTGGTGTAGATTTGAGAGGAAAACAGAAAGGCGGGTTCTGAGAGGGAGAGGCTGTTTGATGACTGCTGGTAACTTTAGAGGGAGGTGTTAGTGTTCAGCATCTCTGAAAATTAACTTTTCTTGTTCGGATGATAAATAAAGCATCCAGTGTGCAGCTCTTAGCTTTTGGATTTTTAAAAATAATACATTTTTACAGGAAGTTAACAGAGACAGCAAACTGTTCAGCAGAAACTGTTAGCTGATAAAAGAAGTTATCCAGAAACTTACTGGAGGTGTTCCCTTGAAAGTGAGTAATAACAGCCTACAACTTCAGGCTCTCCCTGGAGGATGCTGTCTGTGTGTGGAATTTGAAGAAGGCAATTCCTCCACTATGAATCAGAAGGATGATGTGTGGTTGATCAGAATCTAACCAGTGGTATTTATCAGACCTGTCATTTTGGATTACCTACAGTAAATGTTCACTTCCAGGCACAGGAATCTACCATGGCTGCTTTAAACATTACTCTGAGCACGTTGAATGCCCACAGATAGACCAGGAAGAAATTACAACTGATCACTTAAGTGCCTTGGCTTACAGACTAACAACCAGGGCACAGAGGCTTGGAGGGGCTGCCAGAATACACATATTTATCCTGCTATCTTTTTTAACAAGGTAGGGAAGGAAAGGAGTCCTTTTTCCAGAAGGTTTGTTCTTGTTTCCGAGAGACTTGGTATTGTCAATAGAAAAGTCTAAAAGTAGATTTAGATTTAGTAGATTAGCTGTAGTTTAGAAACAGGGTCCATACCTGCATTTTACTGGAAGATGTCAAACTGCTCTGAGTCTGGTACTGAGCATCTGTGAAAACTGCACCCTCATTTGAGGGAGCTGTTTTCCCACCTCTGTCCTGATAGTGACAATTACACTGTGAACTGCACACTTCGTAAGCTCAAGGAGCAATAAGCAGGTTGAATCTGTACTTCTCATGGGAAAGCAAAAGTCAAAAAAGCCTCCAAAACTTTCAAAATCCCAGATTTTAGAGAGGAAAAGGAGGAAATAGGAATTAAACCTGTCTTGTGCTGGTGTATTCAAAACTCTTTCAAACTTACTAAGCACTATTTAAGTACAGAGTACTTTTAAAACACGCATCAGTTCCATCTTTATTTAACAGCCACAGGTGCTGTGAAGCCCTTGGCATTGATATCTTGTGAGTTGAAGACAAACTAAAACCTTGACATTCTGGCTTGTCGGACAGATTCACCAGGCATTGGATGTTTCTGTATGAGCAAAATAAGTCTAATTTTTGACTCTTATTAATTTCTGGGAAAGGAAAGGAGATCTTTTAAAGGGCATCAGTCATCCCAATACCAATATCTGTCTTTGGGCACTACCTGCAGTTCAGTGCTGTTTGTTCCCATCTGTTACACCTTCTGCTAATAAATGTTGTGTATCTGCAATAGTGGATGGCTCCTTAGGCTTGGCTGTGACGTGATTGTTGATAGTAAGATATAGGGGATTTTGGTTTTGCCTCTACCATATCCCATGCTTGATTAATACTGGTTTGTGTAATGCATGTTTTCAGCTCCTTAATTTTCTCTTCCAGTTGTAGACAACTCAATTTAAACGTTTTGTGCAAGTATCTTCACTAGAGAAGTAAATATGTAATACTAACAAATAAAGGAGGTAGTTTTCCCTATTTTTATACTTCAGTAGGCCCATGTTGTACCAGTACTGCAAAACCTGAAGAGGGGTATTAGAACCTTAGAGGTTAGTTTTGGAGAAAATGTGCATGGCCAGTAGCTCTCAAGGCTGTTCAGCAGGGGCCATCAGGGCAGTCTCTTCAGGGGAGCCAGTGTGTCCTTCCCTTACAGCCATTAACATCTCCTGGCAATATGTAAGGACCTTTACCCTTGTTCTAATTTCAGCTGCTCAAGAGGATCCTAACAAGAGTTGCTGCTCTCCAGAAAGGATGAGGACTGTAGTGCCTTTTAGTTACTTACAGATGTGCAGAACAAGCAAAGATCTCTGTCATGAAATCTCACACAAAAACTGCCTTGTGCTTAGAAAGAAATAGAAATTTAACCTGAATTTCACTCTTCTGTAGTTGGATGGGGTTTTACCTATGCCTAAACTACTGTTGGTACATCCACAATCCAATGTTGGAAGAACTAAAAAAGTACTAAGATGATGTTGCTGCATTAGCAAATCGTACCATTACTGGCTTTTTAAATTGTGAGATGAGTTATTTTTATGCAACGGAAACTTGAAAAATTAGTGACTTGATCTGTTCAATTGTATCTGTAGCCTTCCAGGTCCTGTCAGCCTCTACAGAGCTGTGGGAGAGGCTTTGACACCAGTTTGCTGTGCTAATGTTGGCCTTCAGCAGAGTGAGCAACAGAGGTGCATACCCTTGTAGGCTCTTGAACTGAATTTCTCTTGCACTTCTTTCTGCCTGCAGATGATCGGGTGGCTTGGAAAGTTCCAGTATTTAGTGGCTTCTAGTTTTGTGTGCTGTTTTGAAGTTACCAACAGTTTTTCAGCTGTAAGTAAGGAATTGCTCTGTAAGGCAGGTAAACCTGTGACAGCCTTTTTCACCAAGGAGGCGAAGAAAGATTTGATTTGGTGAAGTCCATGCATTCAAAGAGCTGCACTGTTATATGCAGGTACCCAGTAGTCTCAGGTCTTAGCCCAGCTCACCAACGCATCTGCCTTACATCTCGTAAGGGGATTTTCTTCTATGCTGATGAAAACAAATGTATGCAACAGTTTTTATAAGATTAGAATACACTTGTGCAAGGTGTTTACCAAGAAATTCTTAAAAATCTCTTCAGAATCTAGAGAAAATTACCTTCTCCAGTGTTTTTTTTTTTTCTTTTTTAATACACATGTGGCTTCTTCATAGCCTTTGAAGTGAAAGATGCATCCTCCACTCTCTGTCAAACCTGATGTCAAAAGGCTTTTTGTTAAGGAACGTGCCTTTTTATAGCTCAGGTGATATCATTAGACAAATGATGGTTTGACTTTGGTTTGCCATACCACTTTTTATATTGTATATAGCATATTATAACTGGATATTTATCATATAATAAAGCTTTGATGCACATAAAAAAGCAAGTTAATTTCACCAGCTCGCACCATATCCCTAGTGTAAGGGGAAGAGATATTAGCCATGCTGTAGTCATCCTTGGAAGATGTCAAATAATTGACAACCCTTACTCTAGTATAGAGAGATTGGATATGTGTGTAATTAAATCCATCACAAACACCACTCAAAATATAATTTATCTTGTGCAAAGGATGCCTTATCATCTTACACACTTGCCAAGGCTAAGAGAATAAAAATATAAGCAGAGATGATAGGCCTGTCATTTCAGACACAGAAGGAATTTGTGGATATTAAAGCAAACATTTTGAAAGAAGCTTCTCATACACAACATGACACATCGGTGCTGCATTGCTTTTAGTTGTTCGAGGCATAGTCTGGTTTTCTGGTCAGAAGACAACATCATACTCTGTGTCCAGATATCTATCTCTCAGGCTAACAAAACTGTATGAAACAAGATGACATCTATAAAAGGATCTAAAGACTCAATCCCCCAAAGCTGCTCTGGATGAGCAGGTCCCCTCCCACCAGGCTTATTGGGACATTGCACAGGGGTCTGATCATACAGAGCCACTTCCAGGCTGGGAATCTAATTTCTCAGCTGCTCTTCATCTTATCTGTGACATCTGTGGAGGATTTTATCAGTTTTCTGTGGAGGGAGACATTTTACTTGTCTGGGTAGCAAAAAAGGTATATAATGCAAGGTGGTGTAGCAGCAGGCAGACAAGAATATCTCACCCTCTGGGTTAGGGGAAAGATGTCTCCTAGCTGGCCTCTGCTTCAACTTTTCTCTGCATACTGGACTCTATTATGTTTCCCTTGACAGAATCAGACCTCAGAGTTTACTTTAGCAAGTTCATGTTTTTTTCCTCCAGCAAAGAAGAGAGGCACAAGAAGCACCATTTCATAAGCAGGGAGAGTTTGTGAATATTAAAAGTGGCATCAACATCATTAAATTTGATTATCTGCAGTTACACCCTAAACAGATACGCTGAGATGTCTGAAGAGTTTCCCAATCAGGACAGTTATGTGAGAGCCAATGAATCATTGATTTAACATCTTACACAAAATTTCAGAGTATTCTGTGAATTCTGAGGATGATAATGAAAGTGCCAGCTTCCAGAAATCAAAATATCTGCATTGGCAACAGACATCTTAGTGTGGGGAGCAAGTGTATTGCACTAAAAGGGGTTAACAAACAAGATGACAACATATTTTGCTGTTGCAGCTGCTCATATTAGAAATGATCCTCTTACAAACAGCATGTTTCCAGCAACATGCAGAATACCTGTTTTATTTACAGCTCCACAGAGAGAACTGTGGAAAATTGGAAATGGTTCTAGGAAGAAACTGGAGCCCTGAACAGCCCGCCCTAATGAGACTTCAGAAGCTCTCAATTGATTTACTTTATCAAAGAGAAACTGAAGAAGTGATTTGATCAGTGCCTGCATGGGTCAAGATTTCAAATGCTCAGAGGGCTCTTTAATCTCACAGAATGTATAATAAGATTCAGTGCCTGCAAGTCAAAGCTAAGCAAAGTCAAATTGCAATTAAGAAATGTTTAGACAGCAAGGGTAATTAACCATTGCCACAATTTTGGGGGTCAGAATAGAATCACCATCTCTTGAAATGTTTTCATTTGGATTATTTCTTGGAACTGTATTCCATCGTGGTGTGCAGTGAAATATGATGGTATGTGTTCCTATCAACAAAATGAGGACATATGACTAGAAATAAGATGTGCATGCAAAATCTAATCCAAAAAAACCTGCTGCATGATTCTGTATGTTTAGTAGTTTCTGAGTATTAGAGTGAATAATTTCAAGCATCTTTCGAAAAAAAATCTATTTTCTTGATTTGCTATTCTCACTGAAAACTCATAAAAGGCACACATACTTTAGAGGCCCTGCTGAAACTTTAGTGAAAGTCTTGGCCAATTTGTCCTACGAACTCATCCTCATTAGCAAGGGAATGGGGCATGTTTGAAAGAAGGGAACAGAGAGAAGGGACTGGGAAAGATTGCTGTGACTTGCCTTTAGTGCAACAATTAAAGCACAAGTCTGACTTTGCTGAGGGACTGGTATTTTTGTTGTCTTTTACAGTAATAACCGTGCCAAAAGGAATCAGATGTGGTTTATAGCTGCAACCTGCAGGAAAAGCAAAGTCTGTTTGCAAGCCCTCCAAAGACTCTTTTAGTTAATTGTCCTAGTGAGAGATGGGTTTGCTGCCTACCTCCCTTCCAACCTGCATTTTGAATTGTTCACAAAATTGCTGCAAACAGCACATCTTGATAGAAGGTGTCGTGCCTTGCCTGAGCGCCTCATTAACCATGCTTAGGTTCATGCTCATGGTGTGATTAGACAGAGGAGGAACAATATGTTTCTTGCATCAGGCTTTATTAGCAGAACTTAAGAATGCTAGGCTCGCCTCATATGCAGCAATTTGTCTCCATAAAAGCCCCTCCACTCTTCCCTTGGCTCAGATAAAATGCTGGTGGGAATAACCAACTGTCCTGAGTTGGTGCAATTGTTGGGCTTGGGTTTTCTTTCAGGTAGTGCAGAGGCCATTCAAATGTGTTTGTCACGGATGTCCAGAGGAGGTGATCTTGTGCCTAGTTTCAGTTCTGTGTGTCATAGGGTTGAGGGTAGGATGACCCAGATAGTGTGACACTTTTTTTTTAAGTAAAAACACTTGGCTAGGTGAGAGGCACGCAAAATGGTGTGGTGCCACGGACCATGCTGCAGAAGCTACTACCACAGTCTGTGAGTTTCGTACCATTTTTTATCTGACCAGAGACCAGGAGCACAGTTGTCACTATAAACTCAAAGGCCAGAGTCAGATCCCTCTTTGCTGCTGAGCAGCTTCAAGTTCCTGAGTTGGGTGCCTACTCTGAAGGAATTTACACCTGAAAGGAGGGGGCACCGCTTTCTGGCTTTCACCTCTCCCCATGATACTTCTCTCTGTGAAGAGAGCCAAGCACACCAGAATTAAAGGATCTGATGAAGAGAGACATTAATAATTGCCTGCAAAGGAGCTGACTGATCTGAGCTACATTTTACAAGTAGCCTATGCTCTGCATGTGCCCTTACTGTATTAGCACTAGAACCACACATTAGTTTTAAGACTCCCTCTTGAATAGGGATATCGTAATGTTTTTTAATTGGGGCTGATAAAAATGTGGCATTACTTGCAGGTTCCTCAGAGAAGCCAATTGTGAAATTGGGTTTGTATTAAACCTAATGATGGAAAATTAAGCATAGTACGTCTGTCGGAAATGGTCCGCAATAAAAATCTTCTCCTCTCCATTACAGGAGGTTAATAGGGAATAGGCAAGGAAAGATGCACTGGGAAAGCGAATCCAACTAGGGGAATTAATAAGCCTTGAAATTCCCTCTGTTCAGAGTTCTCACACTGTCATTAGTCGGAGCATTAGGGATGATTATACAAATGCTTTGGATGTTACTCTTCCTTAAATCCCAAATTTATTCACATTTTGTATGTGAGGGTTGCTTCACTAGAGCCATAGCTCTGTAAATCTTCAGGTGTCCTGGGAGTGTGACTGTATTTATGAGAACCTGGGATTCAGAAATCCTTAAATTCAGTAGCCTAATCTTCAGAGCAGATGATCGCTTTGCACTAATTTGTTTCAGAAGAAGCATGATGTGTTCAGCATCTCTGATAAATCAACCATCAGACTTCTTTATCTCACAATGGAGATCACCTTGCCCTGCAGCAGTGTCCACTGCTGGCATTCCTTTCTCCTTCATAGTCCTGCAGCTTCAAAACAGAGCATATGCCTGTCTTGATATCTTCCCCCTAATATAACAGTAAACCAGCTAAAGCATTGTTTGTTGTGTTTTGTCATGTTGTTTTGCCAGCTGCTGAGAAGGCATCTCTCTGCTCCTACCCACCTTTGCAATGCGGGACACAGCAGAGATCGTGACTGCTTCTGATCAAAACTCCAGGGTGATTTCTCAAGGATAGCAATGTTTAGAGTAGCATTTCAGACATATGTCTGCCTCACAAAAATCACCCTGAAATTGCAATTTGATTTATTTATTCTTTATCCATTCAAAAATGTGACTGTAGTATTGCTGACAAGGGATAGTGTTTAGGCTCTTTGTCAGTAAGCTTTCTGTAAAAAAAAACCACCTTGTGTATGCAATCTTAAAGGGTTTTTTATGAACAATCTGAGGGAGATACATTTTCTGTTTACTAATATTTTGGGTTTGGATAAAACCAGAAAGAATTGATGCAGAATGTTAAGGCCTGTATGCGCAAAAGAACCCAAGCATCTCATATGCCTGTAATCAAGGAAAGACCAGTGGTTTATTTGGACGACTATTTAAATTGTGTCAACTCTGGCAGATAAGAAACTGAATTTTTTATTTAATCTTAGCTTCTGTTGTTAAAAATAAATATTGAATAGACAGTCAGTTGTCTGGTTATTTCTTTTCTATTAGTTCACCAGAAATATTTTGTTGTGTATATAAGAATTTTGCTGGGGAGGTAAGAGGTTACAATTCCATCTGCATAGTGATAGAGAATTTTTTTAATCCATTTTTTTCAAAAAGAAAAGTTACATATCTGAAATTTAAATTTCTGCATGCATGATAACTATATGCTGGTTTGTTTATTGTTTCTGATAATATTAGATCTTTGTAATTGACATATAAATTTTAGACCTGAGCTAGCAGAGAAGTTTAATTTGCCTCTAACATCCTGTGTGACTTATTTGAAATGCTAATAATTTGTTTGCTATTAACTTGGTCCCCTTTCAGTTATCTCTTACTGTACACCCCAAATCCCTCTTCAGTATCACGCTCATCTGTATGTATCTTTCAGTCGTGTTTGCAGGTTTGTGAAGAAAGGTATGTAATTCAGTTGGAGTTGTTATGCAGAGCTCACCCTTCCAAAATGTGCTACTTCTCTCTATATGCTGTATCCTCATTAGCCTGACTGGCTATTTACTCTGTTCCTATCTCTTTGGGTTTGTCTCCTTGACACCAGAAATATTCAGTGTGGTCCTTCTAGGCAGCTGTAGGCAAGTGTGGGTTTCCTACTTATTTCTTTACTTTCTTTTGCCTGCACCAACCTATGGGGTGGTGGAGAAACAAATAACCAAACAAAGCAGGAATGAGACTGGAAATACCAGATAGGTGAAAGCTTGTTTTGCCTCCCTGTCTTTAAAACAGACAGTAGCCATGGAGAGATGACCCAGCCAACCCTGACTATCCAGACCCACCCGTACCGGAGCTGCGAGCCGGTGGAAATGTCCTACCCCCGGGGGCAGTTCCAGCCAGCCATCCGAGTGGCCGACCTGCTGCAGCACATCACCCAGATGAAGCGAGGACAGGGCTATGGATTTAAAGAGGAGTATGAGGTGAGAGGAACCTTCACTCACATGAATGAGTACAGAAGTTGCACTTGCAAAGAATTCTTGCTTGGGAGGGGAGGATAACTGTTTTTAAGAGCTTTTCCTTAATTCCCTTAGCCTCTTAATCCTTTCTCCATCTTATTTCTGTTTCTGAGGGTAGGATTTTAGAGCCCTAGCAATCTTCGGTGGCCCTCTAGTCCAAAAAAAAGGTGTTTACTACAGCAGTAAGGTAATGACATTGTGCTCATCTGTTAGCATGTGCCCTCTCTCCCATGAAGAGCAGACAATAAATATTTAACAGGTGCTGAACTCAATGAAGGACTTGCAGTCCTATAGTCCCTTATTTATTGATGTGCTTTTGTTGACAATAGTGCAGGCCAAGCTTTAAGGAAAGGAAGGGTTTTACTTGAGCTTTTTGGGAGCTCCAGAGCCTCTGTAACAATTGATCAAATTTAATCACAATTTAATGACCTGAATGCAGAATTATAAAGGCAAAGGTCTTGTGTACTTTAAATGAAGGTGGAGTTTTCCAGTATGCTCAAACCTCTGTCTCAGAATATGTGCGACTGATTTACTCTTCCAACTCCATGGGAGGAGAGAAGCAAAGACTAAGCTCAAAAATGAAAGTGGCCCTGTTCCCACCCCATGCTGGAATGACCAGGAATGTAATCCAAATGACAAGAAGAAACATGACATCGGGGAGGAGTTAGAAGGGGAATATACATTTAGAGCAGAGAGAACAGAAGAGGGAAGTAGCATCAAACATATGTGAGACTTTGCTCTAGCAAGTGATAATTATAATGAATGTAGTAAGCTTGTGGGAAGGCAATAAGCAATTAATATGCGTAGTGGCATTAAAACTACTTAAAAATAACATAACAGCTGTGAAAAATAAGTTACTTAATGAAAACAGCTCACTTTTCCACCCTGCAAGTAAGAGTCCATGGGGTTTGTATCACTGATTCTGGGTTTTGCTGTAATTGAGAGGCAATCTTTTCCTGGTTGTCACCAGGGAGTATTTTTTTAATCAGATGGCATCAAAGACTGTCATAATAAATGTTTCTGGTAACTGTATGTTAACCAGGTCTAGTCACTCATGCCCCACAATCAAGCACGCTAATTAAACTATCAATATAAAGAGCTCTGTTTAATATTGAAAAAGGGTAATAATTCTCTTAGGAGATTTGCTTAGCTCCCCCTTGGCCTCCATTTCCATGAATAGTACCCAGATCTACATTCAGCTCAATTACAGTTGCCCTGAGACCTAGTTCGTGATGTTCAAGAAGAAAACAGGTGCTGGCATATATGTAATTTTCTGGCACTGGCATTGGCAATTATCAAAATAGCACATTAGCATGAAAAATGTCAATGCAACTTTCAGCTCCACAAGTTCTGCCTTTCCCAGAAAGTGCTATCTACATATGTATATAATGATGATGACATTATATAGATTTGCATAATTCCTTTCTTCACAAGAAATAGCCTGGAGAATGCCACAAGCTCTCGAATCACATGCGCTGTCCTACCCTTCAATCAGAGGTAATTGCCTGAAGGAGCAGTCATTTTCAGTGGTGAAATTTGGATGTTAGAGCATGGGACACAGGCAGCACTTCAGTTCCAGATAGCTTTCAGCCACCACCAGCAATACCACAGATTCAGGGAGGATGTCAAGGAGTGTTATAACTCCCGGGAAGTGGGAGGTTTAAGTTGGCTGAGATTGGTGTCTCAGGCTGGAATCTAGAGGAACACAAAGCTGCAAAACCAGCTTTGCAAAACGTTTTGCAGGATGGTTGATAAGATCTTAGAAGAGAATTTGATGTCTCTTTTAAAATGTGTTTTCATACACTAATATCAATGTCACCTCCAAATATGTTTTTTCTTCTAAGGAGCTGATTTTCTACTTACTTTGCAAATTGATAGCATAAATTACAGCCTATTTAGTGACATGTTACCAAATAATTTTACTCTGATGAAAAATCACTTTGAACAGAGTGTATCAGTCACACATGACAATCTCTCTTCTCTGTACAGTATCATCTTCACTGAATAACCTGGAAATGACATTCGATATTTGTTTAAAGTATACCTTCACCTACAGACCATTAGAGCACAGGCAGCATGTTTTACCAAGGGCATCTACAAAAATATTTCTGTAACTCCACACTGAGATGAAAAGTAGGATGTGATTGTGTAAGTGGTGTCACTGCTGGTGTGAAATGGATGATAACTCTGTGTGTGTGAACGTGGGAATCTGTCAGCACTTGCCGTGTGTGATATTTGGGTCTGCCTGCTGCACCTGAGGCCAGAGTGTGACTTGGGCCTTTTTGGCTGCTGCTTCTGTATAGCAATAAAACATGCAGACCACAAGAGAAGAATGTATCACTGGCACTGGGTGTAGATAGCACTATCTGGGATTAGGCATAGCTGTAAACATGTAAACAGGACACGTTTAAGTGTCACCTGTCCCTTTTTCGGAACGTATCAGCCCCAATTTGTTGTGCAAGACTAGTCCCACAGACTTACTGCAAACACCAATTACTGGCTGCGGAGATAATAAGCTTAAGTATAGAAACTCATTTTCTGTGATGATTTAGGATGTCACTAAAGCACATTTGCCTGCTGCATTAGTGAGACCATTTAGTTATTTTGGATTTTGTGGCTCCTTCCTCAAGCATGGTAGTGTTGAGACTCCATCTTATTGATGTGATCTGTGGATTTTAACCCTTTCGTTTCTGTCTGGCTACACATCTTCTATCTGGTCAAAAGAATAGATCCTGTGGTTCAGTCTGTGACGTGACATTGCAAGGTATTTGGCAGCAGGGTGTTACTGTAGATGCTGTCCATGGACAATTTTGGCTTAAGGGAACTGAACTGGCTGAAATATTTCTTCCCAGGTTATTTTTTTTTGCTAAAGCAGTTTTTGACCCTGGGTTGCAACAGAGTTGTGGAAACAGTTTTGCCATCACTGTTGAGAAGATAGTGACTGCAGGGAGAGGGCCAAGGACTCTGTGTCACACTTTGAGATGAGCAGCAAGGCTTTTAATTGATGTTGTTGCCTTTGGCAGCAATACTGCAGCATTGGGGTAGATCAGTGCAGATGAATGATTCAAGTTTTCGTATTTAAATTAAAAACAAACAGTGAACTAACTAAATGCATCTATTGGAAATTTAAATTGGCTTGCAATAAGCCTCAATTTAATGTGAACAATTTAGTGATGTTTGGGCTGTGGTGCTTAGAAAGCTTGATTGAGATGAAGCTGACTTTTAGAGACTATCCTTGTAATTTCAGATAAAAATTAGATCAATTGAGTTTAAAAAGCATCATTGTAACATAAATGCCACTACTGGAAAGATATTTCAGTGTAAATTTTACAGAACTTCTCTAAAAGAAGAAAAGTAAGAAAAACCTAAAAATAAAGTCTGGATTTCTGAACATTTAAATTTTGCTGTTAACAAATCAAAGAAAGAAGGGGAAGTGTTTCCTGTGAAATGTGGATCAAATACCATTGCCTGAGTGATCTGTCCTGATTTACCATTTCTGATAATGCAGAGAGAAACAGAAATATTAACCCTTCTTGCTATTATAGAGATACTTACTGTACAGACAAAAACTGAAGGAAGAAAACATTAGGTATGCTCCTCTTTTTCTGGACACAACCAAATTATAATTGATATTTTTTCCTTTATATTTCTAATGTGGTTTCAGTTTTTGGTGGTGCATTTTTAGTGATCTCACAACAAAAATACTTGTGCTGTACCACCCGTGTACATGCAGTTACTCCAATTTGGTCATCTGGTGTCTATAAAAGTAGGAGTATAAGGTACACCTGTGCAAAGGTAGTTTATGTTCCTCACCAACCAGAGCTGTGCTTCCTCTCTTCAGAGATGGATAGTTCTGTGAAAAGCAGAGATTTCTTTGGTATTGAATGAGATGAAAAATCCTGGACTCTTAAATCTTTGGAGGCTATATCAGGCAAATATAAAAACATCCATTTCAATAGAGAATTTCATCTTCAAATCGCATGAAAGGATAGGGTTTGTTGAAAAGGGATTTATTGGACCTGAATGTATTTTCTTTGGCCAAGATAGCTTCTCCCACGTGGAAGTCATGAGAAAAGACTTTCTTTTTTTTTTTTTCCTTTTTCTTTTCAGATGGCTATGATTAGATGTCTAATGACTGTTGCCATTCTCTAGTCAATCTGCTGTAATTTGATATTAGTGGAAAAATAAGGCACCTTTTTCCTCAGTCTTTGAAGATGAAAATGAACCTTCCTCACCTTTTGTCATTTACTTGTGGATTTTTTTGTTGTGTATGGGTTTGTTGGTTGGGATCTTTTTGCTCAGGAGATGAGCTTCTATTTGGAAACAGCTATCTGTAAAGGAAATACATGTGTGATCAAAGCCCTCACCAATTACAGAGTTATTACGCTTTCTCTTGGGCTTTTGAGTAGGAGCTCACTGTCCCTGCCTTTTGTCAGCAGAGCTCGTGGCAGTGCTGCAGTGCCTGACATTTTCTGTCCTGGAACCCCTTTGGGGGAAATTCACAACGATCTGCTCTGCCACGGGTTTGCTCATATTAAGTTTAATTGTAATGTCAGTGTTGTAGATCCTAATAATTGTGTCTCTCTGCTATTGCATTCAGGCACTGTAACAGACCTGGATGGTTTGTGAAGATGAATATAAATTCATTTTCTAGCACAGCTGTGTTAAACTACCCGCTGTTAGCTAAGGCAGATACGATTCTACAATGATTGCAGTATAAAACCCCCATAACTCTGTAGGGACCATAAATAATACAGTTTATGATGTTGCTGTGTTTTTAGTAATGTAGGATCATGTTAAGGAGCAGATCTTGGAGGAAGCAGATCTCTGGGGGAGCTGTTCTCCTTGCCCCTGTTTTTGGCCCAGGTCACGGCCTGGCTGGCTGCAGCCGCAGCAGCGGTTTGCAGGTCGTGGCCTTCCATCCAGTTGTGGTGCCGGCGACTCCCAGGGAGCCGGGGCTGCTGCACTGCTGTGCTTGCTGTGTGACCGGCCTGGGCTGACGTCCCCAACCGTCCGGAGACAGGGACAGAGAGATCATCCTGCCTGCAGGCAGCCGGGCCGTCTCCAAGGACCATCCGCCAGCCAGACCCCGTAACAGGCGCTGTTCTCCCGGCTCTCCTTGGAGACCCTTCCTGACGTGTCGCAAGGGGAAAGAGTGTGTTCAGAATAGTTGTAGGACCACCCTGTAGGGCAGGGTAGCACTGTGTGTTGCCAGTTTCCTTATCCCATCCTTTCTCTGCTGAAAGAGCAGATTTTAGGAAAATGACTATTCATATTTCATGAGCATGTTTTACCTCCTTTTGCCTCTCTTCCTTATATGTGATCTAAAACCTGGAGCTTTATCATTTTTCCCCAGAGAAAACGAGCTGGTCGTTTGTGTTTCATCGCTCCATTATTAATTACATAGAAATAGGTGAAACCACTGTATCTGTTTTCAACTTAAATTTGAAAGACTGAGAACAGTGTTTCAGCCATCTGGGTTTTCTTAGAAGTATATGTATGTGAAATCTCCACAAAACCTGTTCTACAGGGAAATGAGGTTAACCTGTGACTGTGCAGCCAGAAACAAATTCCCCTGATCCTTTTAGATCTGAAAGTAGCAGGAGGAAAATGATTCTTCATTGGCAAAAGCCAAGAGATGCAAATGGCTGCACCAAGCTCCACTTTTTGCATTAGTGGATGTGCCCTTTCCTCAAGAACAGCTGTTTGCTTGGTTGACTACTGAATTATGCAGCACCTTTATTTTTGCCCTGCTCAGTCATCTTAATCCACCTGAAGGCATTGGCCAGATTTTTATAATCACTACACTATTGTTTATTTTGCAGGCACTACCTGAGGGCCAGACAGCATCCTGGGATACAGCCAAGGAAGACGAAAACCGCAATAAGAACAGATATGGAAACATAATCTCCTGTAGGTGTAAATTCACATTAAACTGAGCTTTCTGTAAGATTTTATATGCATTCTGTGGAAAAGGGTGTGTTTGAGAATCTTACTAAAAGCTGCTTTATAGTGCTGAGCATTCAGTAGTTCAATCTGTTTGTACAAGCTATGTTTCTATGATTTATTTTACCTTTTTTTCATTATTTTACATAAAATCATTGTAAGACTTTACAGTTTTTTATGCATTTTCTATCTCGCTTTGTGCTTAATGTTTGTAATTTAAGGGGTAAATCCTTCTGTCAGATTTTCACAGTGGGTGATGATGCCCATTTTCTGTCCATTTTTACTGCGTAACTCAGATCTTTCAGTGGTATGAATGGGAGCAGAAAAAATGAGATGCAGATATATAAAATTTTAAGGTATGAATTAGAGATCAGATTCTCTCCTTCCTTGTGGTCAGTAACCAGTGGAGCAGTCACTGCATGTCCCCAGAGAGCTGGTTTGATGTGTGGGACAAGCTTAGCTTCTGCCTCAGAAATACAATAAGGCAGCTGAAAATGCACTAAAGCTTTTTAGTTCTACTCCTTTCAACAACCAATTACTGTTGATGTTACAGGAATATTGATACGCTGCAGAACTGCAGGGCAGTGAAGGTCTCCATAAAACCATTTAGGTCAGCTTTGTTCTCCAAGTCAGGACTAGATTCACCTCTGTCGTTTTTGTCAGATATTTGTGAAGCCTCTTCCTAACAATCTCCAAAGTTGAGCTTCCCACGAGCTCTCCAGGCAGTTTACCCCAGTGTTTCATTATACCTTGTAATGACTGGGGAAAGGAGGTGTGAGAAGTAATTCTTTTCAAGGGCTGCTGAGCAGCGTCAAATGGAGAAGCCAAGCCTGAGACCATCAGAACAAGAAATAAGAATATAAATGAATGTGCTGTAGATTTTCATGTCTAGATAAATCTATAGAACACTATAAGAGCAGAATTAAGTCACACTGAGTGATATATTTAATACTGTGGGTTTTCTTAGGTTAAATATATATTTCCTGGAGAACAGACTTTACTAAAGAATTAAAAAAAAAACCCTTGGCCTCAGAGAAACATCATCTCATACATAACTACTCCTCTCTTTCTCTTAAGACTTGAAAGAAATTATTCATGTAACACTTTTGGGGAAATGGCATAAAACAGCTCAATTCAGGGACTACATGGTAAAGATTAAGAAATCTGGAAATGAAGATCAGAAGTTTGTGAGCCCTGATTTGATCCCACTTCTTCTGCTGTCTTTCTGCATTGGTTGTGAGCTGGTCACCAGTTCCATCAGTCTTTGTTTCTCCATGTGGAAAATGGAAATGGTAGTACCTGAAGTATTACAGTTAGTGTGGGAACAGTCTCCCTTAACTTCAGCTGCCTAAAGGCTCCACTGTGCTGTAAGTTCCCAGTGTTCTTAGTGGCAAAGACAGATCCCTCCAGAGGTTCAATTTACCTGTCTACTACTTGTTTAGATTAAATTAGATTAATGGAGATGAATCGAAGATGGAAGTGCCATAGTATGATATAAGGAAGGAAATGTGAAAGACTCTTTGTTTTCCTGTGTGATTTTGAGGAAGCAGTTGTTACAATGTACAAGTGGAGGTGAAAAGAGACAAGCCTGTCTTCAGTAGCTACCATCTAATTTATGTTGAAGGTGGTCACAGAGAAAATGTTGAACTCAAAGTGAAATGTGAGAAGAAATTAAGGAAGCAAAATCAGGGAAGATAAATGGGGTATTATCTAAAGGGAAGGCGTTCACAAAGATTGTTGTCTAACGAAGAGTGATGTTAGCCTTTTAGCTATAAATATGAGTACAGTAGTAATACAGATAGGAGGTGATGTGCTTGAATAAGGGAATGCAAAATGTAATTCAAAGCTAAGAAAAAAAGTATCTACACATTATAAAACACCAGAAGAAGCTCAGGTTTGAGGGCTGTTGGGAAAGATTTCAGAATGAGGTTGAGAGGTTGGAAAGGCATCGATAAAGTAAGGTAGTGAAAGAGCGTAGTGATACAGAAGAGTTGAAGGTTAATAACAAAGTTGAGTGAGCTTTCCTAACTTCAAACGTGTATCAGAACAAAGAGTTTGAGGAGACAACAGCTCTTCTAAAAGACAGTAAGAATAATTTAGTAATGTGCAATAAAGAGTGATAAAATGGAGTGAAAACCTTGCTTCACTTTGGAGAGGCTAGGGAGAAGGAAGAGAGGATGCCTAAGGAAGGAGCATATCATTCATCAGACATTTTGTAAAACCATTGGGAAATTATCAATGGTGTCAGTGGCTAAGCTTTGAGCCAGACCCTACTGATGGGCAACGACAGGATCCAGAATAGAGAATTGATAGCAGAGCTGAGAATAGCAGTAGAGTAGCTCCCTCTGGGCAGATCATGAAAACGAATTGTGCTTGGTGAGTACAAACTGTGCAAAAGCCTGAGCAGAGGAGGGGACGTGGAAAACAATTGCACCCTTAGCTGCTTTGTTGTGCTGGAATTCTAATTGCAGTTACAACCCAGAGTATGCACTGATTGCTCCTACCAGTTTATTTGGTAAAAGGCTGATGGCAATTAACGTTATTTATTTAATCTCAGTTGCCATTTCATCCCTCCTAGAACAAGACATCCCATGCCTTTTGGGGAGTAAACTGAAAACTCAGGTTCTGATCTAACTTTTGTAACTGCCTCAGAGACTTTTGTTAAGATGTGGGTTTGTAAGCTCTTGCAGTAAGTAGCATTGCTCAGTGAATCACAGAAGATTAGATCTTGTCTTTATGGCCTTCTGGGTAATAGTACACTTACAGGACTGTTTTACTCAGCTCACTGCTTTCCCAGGGCTGTATTAACATCGTGCCTCTCTGAAAATCTAGATCTTACTGCCAGCCCCAACATCTGCTGTTCTTACATTTGCAAATCAAAACTGCAGAAGAGGCTAATCTGTTCATGGAGAGGAGATGCAAGAGAGGTCTAAGCATTTCCATGCTTTAAACCCTTGCTTGTCAGGGTTCCCTTCAGTCTGCAACACTGGTATGTTTTTTGAAGAAAAGAAGCTGAGGAGTGGATTTGGGGTCTGTATGACCACTGAAATCCACTGTTGATTGTGGAAAGATGCACAGATTTACCATGCTGGAAGAATCTGCCCTACTCAGAATTTTTATATCAGCTGAGTCCATGAGCTTTGCTCCTGCACTTTGGGTATAAAAGCAAAGACAGTCGTGGAGATGCAAGATTTTTCTTTAGGGGGCAAGTATAGGTAGTGTATCCATTTATGTGCTGAATCAAAATTATTTAAATTTAATTTAGGGCCTAGATATTGAGGCCTTCAAAGTGCATCAGCAAATCATTGTGAGGGGAGAGATGTTGAGTTTTTGTGGGTTGAGCTGAACCCATTGCATAGAAGAGAAAATACCCAGAAGCTGTATGGGACCTTTGGTTCTATTTCTCCCCATCTTGTCCAGATTAGAGCCATTACGTTATGGGAGAGTAAAGTCTATCAGGTGAGAGCTGAAGACATAGAGATACAGGATTGGGTTTTGTTTTCACTTACAGGAGAATATTTCCTTTCCCTTTCTTTTCTCCTGTTATTGAGCATATTACAGAAGGAGGTCAGCACTCACAGGAATGCTCGTACTGGTGCTACTTTAGACACATCTTCCTGTCTGCAGTGGAGCATCTTCCCACTTAGGCACAGTGGTTTTAAAGTCTTGTGATGGTCTGTTAAAAACTATTGAGTTGATGACAAAAGACAGTAATTTGCTTTGTTTTCTTCAAGCTCTGACTACCATATGCTTTGGGCTGGAAGACTGTGAATTAATCAGTGAATTTTGTGGTGGAAGAGACAAGCAACAGAGATTAACAGAGGTCCAAGCTGAAACTCAGGTGGAGCACATTTCTTGGCCATGGCCATGGATAATGCATAAAAATAAAATAAAATAAACAAAACAGCATTGGATTTAGAAAGAGAAGTCTTTTGTCCTCCAACCACTTTTATTCCATGGTTTCTTTTGTAGTGCCTAAACTCTCTTGTCTCATGTGATCCTGAGAAGGTGGGATACATCACACCTCGCTGTTACCCAGTTCTCAAGGCACAGTCAAGGATTAGTGGGGAAGGGAAGGGGAGGACAGAGTGCCTTAGAAGAACAAATCATCCTTACGTACCAGAGCTAGATTGAATCCTCTCAAAAGATGTCTGCATTTCTCCATTGACTATGCGGGGAACCTTGACAGCCAGTTTAGACTAGCTGCATAATATTTAGATGGCGAAAGTTGTGTGAGATTAATCCAGTGCTGGTGCCAGAATGAGATGTGGAAAAATTGCAATGATATTTCAAATGATCACTAATGGGAATTTTGACAGAAGTTTGAAGCGATAACGTTTTTGTGCTAAAATGGAAGCACAGTGCTTTTCAGTGAATTTCTTGTCATTTTTAAAATCTGTTTTAAGACCAATTTTCAGTCAAAGTACTCTTCATACAAATTTAGAGTTCTGCTAACTTGCATACAGGCTTTAGTAAACAGGGAGAAATAAAATCATTTATACATTTGTTAAAGTATATTTCCATTTTTGCAGTACTGAATGCAATTTTTCTTCTGTTTCTCCCTCCATTTTTGAAGTTTCTTATAATCCATTTGGAACATGGTGATATGATTTCTGATAAATTTACAGAAGAGTTGAGTGACACTTTCATTTCAGTGTGCCAAATATTTAGTATCCCTGGCTAGTGTAGCCCAGTGGAAAGGACGCAAAATCAGAAATAAATTTTGACCTGTGGGAGAAGATGTGGTGAAGACATTTGCTGTTCTTTAAAAGGTCCTTTAAAGTCTGTAGATGAAAAAAACTAAGTACAAGATAATTACTATTAGTAGCATAATAAGTTGCATTAGATTTTGCCCCTTTCCATTAAAAAAAAAGGCTAAATAAATGTCTAAATTTGGGGGGGGAAAGGGATTTACAAGGTAAGTTATTTCATGAACTTTTATTCAGACTGTGCTCCTAAACTTATGAACAAGATTAAAGGCACCATTAAGACATCATTAATATTTAGAGTGCTTACCCTATACACATTTTTTTTTCCTGCTGCACTGCTCGCACTCATAAGAGAAATAAATCTCCCGCATGAATTAATCTCATTTTTGTAAAATATGCAATGAAATATTGTGAATTCTGTCCTCCTGAAGCAAAGTTCAACTATAAGTATTTTTCATTTGGTCCCAAAATATAATTGGACCTAAACCCGAATGTCTCCTTTTTAAAAAAATATCATTAATTTCCAGTGGTCCTTTCTTCATCCGTTACTGTTCTTCACAGACAGAATAACGGTACTTAGGTTAAAGGGAAAAAAGCAACAACACTTTTTACAGCTACAGAGCATCTTTTCTTTATCCGTAATTGTCTTAAATGCACAGACCTCTTCTGCAGTCTCCATCACGGGTCTTTCACATCTTGCTCCCTCAGGAGGTATTCATCCTGTCTGTTTTAAGTTTTGAACTAAAGAGTGGCTGAAAGAGCTGAAACTTAATTTTGGGGTTTGGTTCTGTTAAATGAAGAGAGGCAGGTTCTTCCTGGAGGGCTATTCAGAGCACTTCAGCTACACACTGAGAGTAGACAGTGTCTTTGTCACACTTAAAAAATCAACCTGAGATTCTTTTCACCTGCCATTAGGGTCATTTTTTGTCTCATCACTTTTTAGTTCTAGTGTTGCAGTAAGTTAAGACTTTCATAACATTATTATTATATTGTGGCATCACAAGAGGAGTTAGTAAATGTTCCCCTCCTGACCATTAGCTCTAGGGGTTTTTGCTTTGCTTTTCCTCTGTGAGTTTCTTAACTAGCTTAGCTTTGCTGCCTTGAATCGCAAGTGTGAAATTGTCTACAGGAGATTTTGTGTATTTCATCTAGATGTCCGGTTTAATCAGCTCTTTGTCTGTCTTTGTGAATTGCTCTAAGTATAAATTCTGTTGTTGTCTGTCTAACCACATGATTTACTGCAACTCCTAGTGCAGTTGCCTTGGGCGCAGGTAATTGTCTAGAGTTGGGGACATCAGCACTCAGACATACACCTACTTCCACTGCATCTACAAAGGTTATATTTATTAATACAAATATAAGAGAGCTTTTGATGGATTCACCTGCGTAATATTTCTGAATGCAAATATGGGATTTAATACAGCAGTGTGGTTGTATCTTTTGGGTGTGCAAATCTCACTCAAAGAATGAACAGAGAATCATTGCTTTACCTAACTGTCGGACTAATATATATCCAGATCTTGGCTTTCAGAACTGCATGCACATCTGTCTTCACAGTTATTATCTGATTCTACATTTAATTAAGTGATGACTTTTTGACTGAGTTACTGCAGAATCACACCTTGTATTTTTATGTTTCATTGCTATGATTCTTCTTAATTAAATGTAAATCATGCTTAGGCCTCTATTTTGCAAAGTGCTTCTAAATATTAATGCTTTACTGACTGAGAGCTAGGGTCTACAGAGCTGGTAGAGAGGAAATAAATTTAATGGACTCCATATTATGCTCCTTTAAAAAATCCTTGAAAAATGATCCCAATATGCCCAGCAGTGACCTCTGTAGCCCAGTAGCCCTTGCCAAGCAACTGGCCCTTAGATGGCAGTTCAGCAATTAATTGCATTCCAGTGCTGGGATTGCCAGACCAAATCAGCTCAACAGCCCAGCTCGTGGAGATCTCCTGTGACAGAGCCCAGCGCCAGCTGTTCCGGAGAAAGATCAAAATATTCCCTTGGTGGAAAATCATGACATAATCTGCCTGCTGGGGCAGTTCCTTTCTGCATCTGAACTGCGGAGCATGCTGGGAGATGGAAAGATTGATATCTGTTATTTTATTGCCTTATCTAAAGTAACTTTGAATGTCCTGAAAAACATGAACATTTCTAATTTGGGGTTTTTTTTAACACTGCCTTGATGCTGCTGTGAGTTCCGTGGGTTGCACTAAGGAACATTGCTTTGATTTCCTTTGGTATTTCCTTTCAGGTTTCTGGGTTGCCTCATTTCTCATTTGCAGGTTTTCGTTTGCCATTTTACACTCCTTAATCTTTTATCTGTTGTGACCTATTTATTTTTATCCTGATGTGGACAGTTTTAGCTCTTGCCTCAGTTTCCATAGGTCAGATGAAGCCAAGGGAGGCTGTTACTTCCAAGTGTGAAGATGGCTTTTGTAATGGAGATACATCCTGCAAAGATCTGTCCTGAGACCCTCCAGCCAGGCAGCACTTGTGGTCTGTGTCAAAGCTCTCTGTAAGGGTCATGGTGACAGCAGTGAATATAAACGAACACAGTGTACAAATGAACAGTAACCTAAAGACCTACATATTAGAACTTAGACACAAAAGAAACAGCTTGTAGGAGGAGGAATATATGTGATATTCTTTCTTTTTCTAAGTATTCAATTACCTACTTGCAGAAATTGGCAGATGAAGTGAAGCACTTACAAAGTCTTCTTTATCGTTACTGTCACTTTTTTTTCTTTCCTTCTTTCAGATGATCATTCAAGAGTGAGATTGCAGCTGCTGGATGGGGACCCTCACTCTGACTACATAAACGCCAATTACATCGACGTAAGGCTCCTGGACATCCCTGCTATGACAAACACTCCTGCTGACAAGTCTGCTTATGACTTTGGTGCATCTTACATAGGGACAGACTGTTGATCTGATATGAATGACAGCTGAACATTATACAAACATCATGTTGTGACAGGGAGAAGGTTCTCGGTCTCCAGTTTATTCTGTCTGACCAATCTGGACAGATGGAGATTTCCTATGTTTGACAGATCCGCCAACATAAGTGGAGTGTGGGCTAAATGACGTATGCAGAAATCAGTATCAGCCCCTCACAATAGCATTAGTAGATATCTGAGACTTAGCAACTTCTTAGAAAGTTGCAGTGCAGAAGGCGTGTAAATAGATTGACATATTTTTTTTTTACTGTTATAAAATAACATTCAAAAAGCAGCCTCCCTCGCACACACAGAGTGATCAAACGAACATGCTTTTCTTGCATGCAACTCCTAATTCTTAGGAACATGACAACGTTCAGAAGAGTTTCTTTAAGGGATGAAATATACACCTAATAAAGTTACATAAGACTTAAATGCAGCATTTTAATACAGAGGCAAATGCACACCTTTCCTCTTCTTCAGACAAGAAGGTGCAATTTTTTGCCTATTAGTTTTCAGAGTTTCCCACAGGTCAGTGACAGAACTCATGTTTCTTCAAGGAAATCGTGAAAACTGCCCCATTCCTGTTTTCTTTTTGGCATAATAAGATCTTATTGTTCAGTCTGAGCAAGATACTATCACTTAAAATATCAGAAGGCAACCTATCTGCCTATGTTCACTCATTCAATAACGAGTGTTAGTACACTGTTAAGAGTGGAGCACCTGTTGGTACCTGGAAAGTATGAATTACATACAAATGGTGTGCTTTGTCTGAACTGTCATCTCACAAACTGTCACATACTTTCTTCTTTTTCAGGGATACCACCGGCCTCGCCATTACATTGCAACTCAAGGCAAGTATGTCTAAATATTTGTAAAATCACTGCTGCTTTAAACTTTTGCAAAAGCTATTTATAGGGTGACATCTTCTGTTTCAGGGAACATCTGAAAACTTGCTACAGGGACACAAAAGGGAAGGATGTAGGGTATAGGATGTTCCAACAGCAAAATGCATTCAGTGCACTCAAATGCAAAACTTGAGCTACAGGAATAAAAAATGCTACAGACTTAGAGGTTGCAGTACAATCTATAATGTGTCTGTTGTGCATGAAGTATGAGATTAGAACTAAAAGGGACTTTATGGAGCTTGCGTTTTGCCTTTGGAGTGAAATTGCTTGGGGAGAGCAGTATGAATAAGCCTGTGACTGATGAACTTTTGGTCAGTGGGAGCTAGTAAGAAATGCATTTGAACACCACCTTCTGTAAGCTAGTTGATGAGTTCTATGTCCCTTTAGGGGGAAAAAAAAAACCAACAAACCAACCCAACACAATTCAATGCTGAGGGCTATCCATGTTCAATGACAAACCTCCCTACTCCTGTTCTTTATACCAGGGTGCTGTTTTCCTGCATTGTGGCCAAACTCTTATGCCATGACCACTTCCTCTACCATTATTTGACCTCATTTTTGTGCTTTCCTTGCCTTCAAAAGGGATGTTCACAGAAATGACTCCGTTCTTAAATTCTGCTTTATGACTTTATTGCTGGCTTGTATCTGTTGAGTCAAGAAATATATTAGAATAAAAATGGCGCTTGAGGATGTACGGGTACAGGGAATGCAGCAGGGCAGAGAACATGGGGGATGGAGTATGGGCAGAGTGGGTGAAAGGGAGGTTTTCATCTACAGTGTAGAAGAGAGGAAGGAAACAAGGTCAGAGGGAGGCTCTGCTCTAATTAAAGTCTTGTGAGTACTGGCTGTTTGGCTGTTGGAACCTGAAATTTTTCTCTCTGAGGAAACTTCAGAAAAAAGGCTAATTTCTCTATGCTTTCTTCCTCCTTCATAATTAAAAAAATATTAAAATGTGAAATGGAGGAATTTCAGTGCTGCATCAGGTACAAATTTCAATACAGCCTTAATTACAGACTTACTATAGGATGCATCCATGTCCCATCACTTACACATGCTTACCCACTGAGCTATCTCCACTGTTTCTACTACAGCCATCACCTCTCTTTCCAGGCTGCTAGAACCTTAAACACCCTCTGAGAGAAAGGATGAGGTGTCTCATCTCTCAGGTCCACGGTGGTCTGTGTCGTAACCCTGAATTGCAGAGGGGTGCTCTGAAAGGGAGAAGTAGGATCCTGTGGGAACAGGGCAGTGTCTGGGGAACAGCTGAAAAAGTTGTTGGTATTCGATACACTCTTTTAAGATCTCCTTTTGTTTTTTCTCCTGCCTCAGGGCCGATGCAAGAGACAGTGAAGGATTTCTGGCGAATGATTTGGCAAGAAAACTCTGCAAGTGTTGTCATGGTCACCAATTTGGTGGAAGTGGGCAGGGTAAGGGTACCACTTTCCCAACACATAAAGCCAAACCATCGCTGGGTGCTGCTGTTGAGGCAAGCTCAGCAAGTGAAGTGCCTTTTGCTTACTGTAGTAAGGGAATGAATTAAGCCACTAAGGTTTTTACTCTAAAATGCTAGATTTTGTAATACTTAGCTACTTTCCTTCTAGACTAATAAGGTTCATGTTCCTGGTGTAAGTCTCGGCTTTAGCAGTGTTAAACAAATTTATGCCAGCTGAGAAGCTGTCTCTTTTTTCAATACAGAAGGAAAAATGTACTTCTGTAATAATTATTCTTTATCTGTATGATGTGAATACTTCTCTACTCACAAAAATCCAGAAGGGTGAGAATGTGCAACTGGTCTCTATCCAAAGAACTCTTTAAATGACATTTCAAATCCTGGAGTTCCCAGTCACTTCAGTAGATCACTATTCTGTGGAGATACAGGACTGTGCACAGCTGGATCCTGGGGCTGCCCAGCAGTGTTGGCCTCTTCAACACCCACCACTTCACTCTCTTGGACTCAGATGAACCAGGAGTCCCTGTGTCACCACAAGGCAGTTGTCGAAGCCCACGATGGGAGCAAATATGAATAACTTACAAGATACAGACTAGACTTCAGGGAATGAGAAAAAGGCATGTCTGGGAGGCTTTCCCCAGTATGTTCTTCCCGCTCTTGGTCTTTGTTTTAGAGACATTCTCAACCAGAAACTGGAGCTCTTAAAAATGTTGTCCTGATGTTTGTCACCTTCCATTCCTTTGGTACTAAGAAAAATTTGAATGATAGTTTACTCAAAGCCATTAGTAATTCAACCGCTTTGCATTTGATTTCCTTTAGATCTCATGGTTGAATGCCAGCTGGTTCTATTCATTTATTGTTATTTATTCTACTTTATCTTCTACTGACACTTCAGTTTGAAATAAATGCCTCTGTGTGAAAAAAAAAAAAAAACAACAAAACAACAAACCTACATTAATCATATTTAATATTTATAAAACCCCTTCCAATTATGACTGGAACTGGAACATGAAAACTGCTTCTCAGAAGCTAATTGCTTCAGCTTTTCAGTGCTGTTCCACCCTTTCATGCTAGAGCATTTAATAACCTGATAGTCTTTGTTAGCCTAAATATCCCTTCTAGAGCTTCACAGCCTTGGCTTTTATTTTTACTATTAGTTTTGCACATGCCTTCTAGAAGTGGCTAAGCTTGGAATATGTTTACATGATCAGGAGATTTCTTTCTTGAGCCTTAGCTGAGACCTGTCACAGCTGGTAAAATGTCAAATTTGTGTCCACATCTGATAAGGAAAGCTTAGAGTAAAACAAATTTAATGTATCAAGAAGTATCTCACTGAAATTCTTTGACTAAACAGAGAGTTCAGAATTACAGTAGCAATAGCAAGAGCACAGATTTTTCTCCAAGGGGATGGTGGTAGTGACTGCCAGATATTCTGTAAACCTGATATATGATCAGGTCATGTATGGAAATTGAAGGAAGATTATATTAAAGAAGAAGAGCTAAATGCATCTTTTTCATTTGTGTTCACAACAAAGGAAGCGTAAAAAAAAATCCTCCCTGTGGTTTCTATATATTGTAAAGGAAGTTTGATCTAATTTATATAGTTAATTTTGACAAGGTCTGTACATCAGAAGAAAGCCCAATTTGCATTGGTTTCAGCTTGAAAGTGGAATAAAATGTAGGTCAGCTCTGACTCAACTTGAGCTAGTTCCTCTCAATATTTTCTTTTTTCCCCCCAGGTAAAGTGTGTTCGATACTGGCCAGATGACACAGAGGTCTATGGAGATATTAAAGTCACATTAATTGAGACAGAACCATTGGCAGAGTATGTCATACGCACATTTACTGTACAAAAGGTAAGGAAATCTTTAGTCAGCTGAAATTTTGATACAATGCTTAATTTGCGTTCAGAATGTGAACTCTGGGAAACATATCCAGAATGCTCGTGGAGATGGAAGCTGTTACTGTTTGGACAGGTTTCACTTCAAAAACCTAAATTTTTGACAGAGATTCCAATTTTGGACAAATTATTTTACATGAACATCTTGATGTAGCCACAAAAGTAGAATCTACAGTGCATGAAGTTTAAGTGCATCCAAAAGCCAGCAGGTAGTTGATGGTATACCAGGAACAATAACTGTCATATTTCACAGTGGCAAATTACAAATGAAAAAAGGTATCAGTTAAACTGGATGCCAGGTAGGGTCACCTTTCAACAGAAATAAAAATATAATAAAGGCGAGAGTATAAAAATTGTCCGCGGATTGGCAGGATTTGGAAGGGTTTTGATACTTGTAATGCAAAATTGGAAGTCTTAAGTGTCAGAGCATTCCAGGTCGGTCCAAATTACTCTTCAAGCACTCAGTATGTGGTTTTAAAGCTTTTCAAAAATTCCTGCTAAATGAACTTCAGCCACTCTGGGAACATTGTTGCGGTTTTCTAATACATAAGCTCCGTATTATATTAAATGACTGAAAAACTTGGTAAGAAAAGCTAATGCCAAAATCTTGATGGGTTAGAGCACCTGCTGCTGGATTCCACCTACATTTCCTGTACATAAAATGTCACAGCTAACTGACACTTCTGTGTTACCCTTTGCAGGGCATATACACGTTGTATCAATTTTCAAGTACCAGTAACTTGGTCTCACCAGAAAAGCCAAGTGATGGGTCTGGGTACCAGTTTCTGCCCTTTTCACCACCAGCTGTAAACTCAAACTGAGATTTTTTTTGGCAGGTGGTGGCAGAAAATCTACCATTGCCTGGGGCATGCCCACTTCCTAGATGTTTAATCCCCAGACTAGTGCTTCAGCGCCTCAAGAAGGGTTTAAGAGTGACTTCTTGGTGGTTTATGGCAGTACACCAAAGGAGGCTGCATAAATGCAGCCATAGTATGCTGGGGCTGAAGTCACCCTGTAAAATTCCTGATCAGCTGGGTTTGAACTCTTAAGACCACAGGTTTGAATTGGGAGCTGGCATTTACCTTCATAGTTGTCAGTTGTGTATTACCCACTTCATTTGTAACTAGAGTTTGGCCTGAAATCTCTCGGAGTGGAACGTGGCATAGCTCACATTCCTGCCTATGATGAGAGCTAAAGGCTTGTTCAGCCCTCTGCATGAAGGAAAAGAGCAGTGATCAGAACATTCTGTTTGAAGTCTGATGGAAGAAAAATAGAGGCTGTGTTGTCTCCTCAGAAAGGCTACCATGAGATCCGAGAGATTCGGCAGTTCCACTTCACCAGCTGGCCGGACCATGGGGTTCCTTGCTATGCCACAGGCCTCCTGGGCTTTGTTCGTCAAGTGAAGTTTCTCAATCCCCCAGAAGCAGGACCCATTGTTGTGCACTGCAGGTATGCAAGCTCTTTGTCTGAGCCTTTACCCCCTCAGCTTTTTCAGCTTTTTACCTTTTTTTTTTTCTCATCTGGCAATAATCAACTATGTTTTGTTTGTTAAAGAGTATAATTTGTGGGCCTCCCCAGGAAACAAAGTGGAATTTGCCACTTTAGAAAAAAAAACGGCTCCGGAGCTTAGCTGGCATGAGTTGGAGATGATACAAGTAGTTCCGAGAGGGCCATTTGAATGTAGAAGACTCTCTGGTGATCTGTACTCTCTTAGAAGCTCATAGCAGAGCTGGGAAAATGGTAAATATCTGGGACAGCCAATTGTTGTACAACAAACCTCTCATGGCAAGGAGACGATGCCTACAAAGAGGCAGGGAATTTTAAAGCAACTTTGCTTTTCTGTATTCACATGCACTACAGTTGAGCTTTGTACCAGCAGCAGCAGTCTTATCTGAACCATTAGTCTGTCTTCCTGGGTCTGGATGCCAGTCATTGTGCATCTTGGTCTCCTCAAAGCCTAGGTAAAACAGGAAGGTCAGACTGAAAAGCTACTCATTGCCTTCCAGCTAGCAAGTAGAAGGGGAATGCCTGAGGAAATCTCACTGCTTGGTTTACAGCTGTGAAAATTCAGACCGTTAAATCACGTGCTTGCTAACTCCCTGGCTGCTGCCATTACTGGTGAAGGCTCTTCTGCACTCTTTTCTTCCAACTGAGCTTAAAGCCCTACAGTGCAGGGCGCTATGTGAATGTGTGGGAGAGTGTCCCTGACACAAAGAACTAACAGTCTGAGGTGTAATCAGGCACGCTGCTGGTGGTGGGAGAGGAGGCACGTGCACACAGACTGCCATCAGACCTGGGTGACTTCAAATGCAAGCAAAGACATTGCTACAAAATTTGAGTCTGTAGCAGCTACCCCTGCAGTGCTTAGACCACAACTCAGGGCACGGGTTCTATAAAGGAGACTTGACTGGAGCATAAGGCTAGAGAGCAGAGCTGGTTATCCCAAAATCTTACCCCTAATGAACCTGCAGGCAATTACCTTTAAGTGCCATGCAGTGTGATCAGGACGAGAGAGGGAATACATCCCACAACCACCTTGAAAAGGAAAATCAATTAAATCTTACCTTTTTAAAACCGTTTTGGGTTGGGAGGATGTTTTGTTGTGCTTTTTAGCAAGCAATGACTCAGTTCTATAATAACATACATCTGAGCCTGAGGAGCTGGCAGAAGGAAATTCATTCAGAGCTCAGGGCCTGAATTTGCTACCTTGGTGCCATGACATGAGTCTGGCCCTGGAACGAGTCTGACCTGATTCATTGTAACCAAGAAAGCAAGGAGAAATTTTTCATCCTTCACATTTTAATGAATAAATGCCATTTCCTCTCTGTTATTTATCTGCTTTTGAATTTTAATGACTTGCTTTAAGTGGTAATTACCAAATTCTCCCTACCGATGCCTGGCTGGATAATATCACTGTTCGATATTTATGAAGTGCCAGGATCCTCTAAATATAGAAATGTTATAACTATTTGTTAAAATTCTGAAAAGCTGAGAGATAAAGGGAGAGGAAATGCCACTTATTCATTAAAATTCAGCAAATGAAAAATATCTTCTCTCTATTCAGCAGTTGATTAATCTGGTCCATTAATTTATGGTCATTCATATCTCCTTGCTTTCGGCTCTGCCGGAGTTTTCATGCAACTGAAGTTTCCCTGATTTGAGCTGAGTTTTCCTTCTTCTTTGGAGTAATGTGAAGAGATGTTCTCTTCTCTCTGTCCTTCACACCTAAACAGCTTGGATGATTTCCCAGGAAGGAAGGAGGACACAAGGACAACACAGTTTTGCAGGAGAGGGTCCAATTCTTGCAAGCAGCGGGGGGCTCTAAACTCAAGATTTTGAGTAGCCTTGAGCTCCTTTCTCTATGATACTACAATCCACCACTTGAAATCACCCTCCTCGGGACCCAGACTCCTCTGGATCAAAAAGGGAAAAGAAATGTTTGAGGTGGAGGGCTGGGCCCCTTTTATCATGCTCACTTGAGTAAACGTGTGCATGCCTTCTAAAGAGTCCCATGGAAGACAATGTCTATTCACAACCTGGAGGCTGCTCTCCCACACCCTGTTTGATGAGAGGTGTGCAGGTGCACCCACCTGTAAAATTATAATGATTGTTTTCATAGAGTAATTTTTTGTTAATGTTCCAGAACACAAAGCTTTTTTCCTTGCTACCTGCGTCCATTTCCCTTTCAAGAAATATTTTCCTCATTCTCTTAAATCCCAAGCTAATTTAGCTCCACACAAAAAATCAGCCCATTAGGGAGAGATGAGCAGCTTCCAAGGGAAGACAGCTGTGTCTGTGATACAGTTATTTTCTCCTCCATAAAGCCCTGCTCTTCCACGGTCCCTTGATCATGCAAACTCTCATTGTTTTTTCTTTTTTTAGTGCTGGGGCCGGGAGAACAGGGTGCTTTATTGCCATTGACATAATGCTTGACATGGCAGAGAACGAAGGCGTGGTAGATATATTTAACTGTGTGCGAGAGCTGCGATCCCAAAGGGTCAATCTGGTGCAGACGGAGGTAGGTGACAGCAGGTCTCCTCTCACGATGTACTGCTTTTCTGTCAGCTTCTCTGCTCAACAGGAGCCCGGCAATTCATTAAGTCAACACTTGATGCCTCTGTGATGTGATTATACAGAACTTTTGGTGGCTAAACATGACCAGATGTGCACTGGATCACATTCACTGGCAGCTACTCAGGGCCTCCAAGACAGGAGGGCAAGCCTTGAAGTTGAGGTCTTAGCATTGCTGATTGATTTTATTCTCCCAGTAGAAAAAAGCTACCTTCTGAATCTTCTCATGACTCATTCATAGGTATACTACAAACTCGAATAGTACCTAGTTTATATCAGTTGTGAGTTAAACAAATGAGACCATCCTTGATTTAAGCTTTGGGTGCTGATTAAGCAAGCTGCTCCATCACATAGCATCCAGCAGCTGCACAAACTTCTATGGAACCATTATCCTGCTACCCAAGCTTTTCCTACATGCTTCAGTGCCTTCCCCTCCTGTGGCACAGTACAATGGTCTGGACCAGAGAAGAGCTTTTGACTTTGTTGGACTTCTCATGTTTAGTTCTGGAAAAGAACTTTACTTAGAATACCAGGAGTCCAGTTTTGAAGAGACAGATGGAGCAGACCTGTTAGTATCACAGTTTCTGCAGGTGTTACAGGTTCAAAGCACAGTCCATTCCTGACCATTACCTCATGATTGTGAACAGAAAAGTTTTACGCCCTGATTTTCTCCTCAGCCCACCCCCATTTTGTCCTAGCATTCCTGAGAGTGGCGACTTCCCATTTTACTTATAGATTTGAAATGAATACATGAGGCCTCACGTTCAGTGATGGATGAAATATGCTCACAAAGCTGTCACATAGCACACTGTGTAATTTGTCTCCACATGAAACGGAGCCAAATATGCATATTGGGCATGATTTAAAAAAAAAAATAAAACAAAACAAAAACGTGGTATTTCATGAACTGTAACAATTTTAATATGTTATTCCCTCCCCTGTGCAGGAGCAGTATGTGTTTGTCCATGATGCCATTTTGGAGGCATGTCTCTGTGGCAACACAGCCATTCCAGTTTGTGAGTTCAGGTCCATATATTACAACATCAGCAGACTAGATCCACAGACCAATTCCAGCCAGATAAAAGATGAGTTTCAGGTAATTTCATGTGCCTCCTCATTGCAGTTGGTGTTTTGAAGTTGTTTAATCAATTTCTGTGTGTTATTTTACAGTTTCCAACAGAGAAGGGAATGGGGGGGACACTGACCAAGGTCTGATTTCAGCTGATTTTTGTTGGTTTACTGCTGGGTCAAGATTTGGGTTTGAGCATGGACTCTTCAGCCTTTGACAAGGAAAAAATATTCCCATCACTTCAGTAGAGTAAGGGTACTAATTTTCACACATAATGTACTTCTCATTTCAACAAATAGTCTGTTGTTCATTTTCTTCTGTAATTTATGCGGAAACGTTTATGCCTCAAGGTCCCTTATTATCCGTTCTTGTGGCTCGTATGCTGTTTCTGAGGCTTGACAATCAACTTGTTGACATCCTTCCATACAAAGGAGAAAGTGAGCTCAGTGAGCATCACTTTTACTAATTTTCAGTGAACTGAATCCCTCAGTTCACTACAGATGTTTTGTCAAGTACCTGGTGATGAGAACTGAAATGACATAAAGTGAAACGCACAGGTGCTGGCCTGGAGCAGTTTGCCTGAGACAAGCAATGAAATTGGGACCCCCTCCACCTTTTGCTATCACCATTGCTTATCCCACCCTAATAAATGTGCTTGGGACACATGAGCCACGAGCCCTGTGCAGTTGTGCCTCTCACAAAGTGGAGATCTCACCCTGCAGAACACCAAACTAAGTTTTCCAGTCTTACTCCCCATGTATCTGTAAATCCCTTTAGGATTTTCAGCCAACGTCAATGTATGGAAAAAACATAATACTGTGGGAAATTTGGGGCAAGGTGAATTTGATAGGAAAGAGAGAGACTTCTGCTATTTGTGAGGCTATTAGTCAGCAGTAAAAAGCTGGAGATTCTCCTTTAATTGTAGGAAAGCCCACCCCCTTTCCCACAAAATATCTTTCGCAGCAAGAGAATGCCTTTTGGGAGCCCCAGTCTGAGTCAGATGCCTCTTTTCTTCCCTCTCTGTGCAAAGGGAGAATGTGTGGTTTTTATCTGAAACCTTACAGGGAATCATCAGGGTTGGTATAGTGAGAGAAAGAATGTGGATCCCAACTGATGACAGTTCAATTTTAAAAAGATCTGGTTTTATCAAGTGATATCAGATCTGTAAAAGTGTTTCTGGTTCTGGACGCTTGTCATGAAGGAGCCAAAGCCTAGCTTCATCAAATGATGTTACGCTGTTAAGAAAAAAAGTCATCGCTTGCTGGGCTTATTTTGTCATGACATGAGATGAGATTTGTTGCCTGTGTGCTTGTTCTTTTGAGCTGCCAGGGGCTGGCAGCTCCTGTGAAAAGGGAATGCTCCACCGTACTTTGCATTAGAGGTTTGTTCTCTGTCTAGTTGTAGAGTCTATTTTTACAGGATTTTGGCTCAGAGCATTCTTCAGTCCTAATTGTCTGGATTTAATGCAAAAGATAGTATCTTCTGCTGCAATCTTTATGAACCAGTTGATCTAACTGTAGATCTGTGGTGCAATTTGTATTATTTAGGTCCCACTGGCCCTCGGGTAAGGCTGGATGTATTTCTCATGCAGTACATGTTGTCTGAACGTGCAAAAGCTCATTCTGGAGAGTTTTTGTATCTGAATAATTACAAAAACAATGGAGAGAGGGGAAGGGCATAAAATCACTGAGAAGTCACCTGTCTAATTATCTGCGCTGTCAGAGATCTGAGATTTCATGTTGCTTCCTCAGCCAGACTGCCTGCATTCTATCTCTAGACAAAGGGACTTTTATGTAGAACCTGCATAATTTAGAGCAACTATTATTTCAAATTTTATATTTTGACACATTATTTCATCTTGGATTGTTTGACCTTCCTCTTTTCTCCATTCAGAACCTCACTGTAGCAGAAGTCAAGCTCTTTATAAAAATTTTTGGTCTGTAAATATTCTGTGTTCCTCTGATGGCTGGAAAGTTCACTGTGTGACTGTATGGGCTTTGCTCAGAAAGAGGACACATAACAAGTGAAAGTAGAATGACATCAGATAACCACTGATCTACCACGACTTAAGCAACAGAGTTAACATGCATTCACTTTGATTTGCTATTTTTGATCCCTGCTGACCAACCTGGATTGGTTTGTCAGGAGGCGTCCACAACGGATAACACAAAAGAAAACTAGATTTAAAGAAATACAGTTTGTCAAGCTGTGGGAAAGACAGATAACAGTAAAAGAATGACAGCAAGACTCCAGAGATAAGTTATGACTATGTAAGTGAAACATCCTATGTGTCACATCAAAAAGAAAGTAGCAATCTAAATAATATATGAAAAAAATAGACTTTCCTATTAAAAAACCCCAACATTTTCTCATAAGTTTTTATATGCATTTTTAAGATAAATCAATAGTTTGACTGAGGAATCACCAGAGGATTTGAACCCAGTCAGACCTGCTGGGCAACCCAGGTCAGTACTCAGGGTACTTCTGCTCGGGATGTGCTTGAAGAGGGAGAAGGATGTGTGCTTCCACCCTAGGGATGGTAGAAACATGAGGAGGTTTCACTCCATGACCGGGTGAAAGCTGCAGCATGTACCTGTGACAGCTATTTCCATCCTCTAGGAAAGAACAGAAATGTTACCTAACTGCTCTGGGGTTTTAGAGCTGGAAATTGTTGGAAGGTGTATAGTGCCCTCAATTTTTGCTGTAGCTTAAGGTTTTCAGAAGAGCACCTCAGGACGATGTACAAAATGGCAATGTATTGTAACAGCAACAAGCACTTCAGTGCTCCTTTTTTCTTCTCTGGGATCCCAAAGATCTAGTCTGAATATCTTTAAAATAAACATATATTGCAGATGGCATGCTTCTTGGAAGTAAATTCAAAGGCACTCAGTGTGCTTCTGTCTTTCTTACCCTTCTTCTCTCCCCCCTTCACAGACTCTCAATATTGTGACACCACGTGTTCGGCCAGAAGATTGCAGCATCGGTCTTTTGCCAAGGAACCATGACAAGAACCGCTGCATGGATGTGCTGCCCTTGGACCGGTGCCTGCCTTTCCTCATCTCCGTGGATGGTGAATCAAGTAACTACATCAATGCTGCACTCATGGATGTAAGCAGCACTGCGCTGTCCCCACTGATCCCAATCTGCATTGAGCTCATTCATTCTCAGAATACTTTTCAGAGTGATCTGAAGGGATCAAAAGCAAAAACCCTTTTTTTACCTGCAGTTTCTGGGGCTGACATCTCCAAACTGGGCAAAGGCACACAGAAATGTGTCACCTAGACTATGATTATCACACTACCGTGGTAGTTCTGCGTCACATTGGTGGAAAATATTTGACAAGTTAATGAGCATGAAGTCTGAGGTTGTATTGCAGAAAGGCAGGTGGACAAAGAACTGGTGGAACAACTGTTCCCATACATTGGTTTTCATATAACTTGGAAGAGAAATGTTTGCAAGTTGCTACCAGGTCAGCTCTTTGATAAGAATAGTTTGCAGTGTGGAGCAAGTGATTTATTTGAGGTTGTGCGTTAAGAATATGGGAGTACAGGGATCAGATGTACAAAATACTAAGGCTGAAGGACATGAGTTAAGGTGATGTGAATCTGTCTGAAGACTTTGTTTATAGGCTAGAATCGCACAGCACAGGTCATTTGTATAGGGTGTATTATGTTGATAGTTTCTTTTTGCTGTTATTCCTAACTGCCTTTGGACAGAAATGTCTTTAAAGCCACTAATTATTGCAGTTGGAGTATATCTAAATATGATCCAGGGTGAAATGTCATCATATTTTCCCTAGCAATGTTGGGGTCAGTCTTTTTTAATTTTATCTGTTATTTCAGTCTTTTGGGGAACAGTGATACTACTGTATTTAAGAGGTTAAGTCCCAGAATCAAAGAATCACAGAATCATCTTGGTTGGAAAGGACCCTGGAGAGCATCTAGTCCAACCATTCGCCCAGCACAGTTCCCACCTACAGCATATCCTTAAGCTCTAAATCGACCCTACTCTTGAACCCCTCCAGGGATGGGGACTCCACCACCTCCCTGGGCAGCCCATTCCAACGCCTAACAACCCCTTCTGTAAAGAAATGCTTCCTAATACCTAGTCTAAACTTTCCCTGGTGCAACTTGAGGCCATTCCCTCTTGTCCTGTTGCTTTCTACTAGGCTAAATAGGCTCATCCCCAGCTCTCTGCACCCTCCTGTCAGGGAGCTGTACAGGGCCATGAGGTCTCCTCTCAGCCTCCGCTTCTCCAGACTAAACCCCCCCAGTTCCCTCAGCTGCTCCTCACAGGACATGTGCTCCAGACCCTTCACCAGCTTTGTAGCCCTTCTCTGGACATGTTCGAGTAACTCTATGTCCTTTTTGTAGTGAGAGGCCCAAAACTGAACACAGGAATCGAGGTGCAGCCTCACCAGTGCCAAGCACGGGGGTCAGATCCCTTCCTGTTCCTGCTGGCCACGCTATTGCTGACACAAGCCAGGATGTCATTGACCTTCTTGGCCCCCTGGGCACACTGCTGGCTCCTGTTCAGCTGGCTGTCAGTCCACACACCTAGGTGATCTCCAGCCACTCCTCCCCAAGCCTGTAGCGCTGCTGGGGGTTGTTGTGGCCCAAGGGCAGCCCCCGGCATTTGGCCTTATGGAAACTCCTCCAGTTGGCCTCAGCCCATGGCTCCAGCCTGTCCAGGTCTCTCTGCAGAGCCTCCCTACCCTCGAGCAGATCAACACTCCCACCCAACTGGGTGTCATCTGCAAACTGACTGAGGGTGCACTCGATCCCCTCGTCTAGATCATCAATAAAGATGTTAAACAGGAGTGGCCCCAACACCCAGCCCTGGGGGACACCACTCGTGACCGGCCGCCAACTGGATTTAACTCTGTTCACCACAACTCTCTGGGCCTGGTCGTCCAGCCAGTTTTTTACCCAGTTGAAGTGTGCAATTGTCCAAGCCTCGAGCAGCCAGTTACGCCAGGAGAATGCTGTGGGAAATGATGTCAAAAGCCTTACTAAAGTCAAGGTAAACAACATCCACAGCCTTTCCCTCATCCAATAAGCAGGTCATCCTGTCGTAGAAGGAGATCAGGTCTGTCAGACCTGCCTTTCATAAACCCATGCTGAGTGGGCCTGAGCATCTGGTTGTCCCACATGTGTTGTGTGATGGCACTCAAGATGAGCTGCTCTGTCAGCTTCCCGGGCACCGAAGTCAAGCTGACAGGCCTGTAATTTCCCAGATCATCCTTACGACCCTTCTTATAAATGGGCATCACACTGGCCAATTTCCAGTCAGTCGGGACCTCCCCGGTCAGCCAGGACTGCTGGTAAATGATGGAAAGTGGTCTGGCGATCACCCCAGCCAGCTCCTTCAGCACCCTCGGGTGTATCCCATCTGGTCCCATAGATTTGTGTGTGTCTGTGTGATGCAGCAGGTCACTGACTGTCTCCTGGATTGCAGGGGGGTCGTTCTCCCAATCTCTGTATTATGGCTGTGGAGGCTGGATTGCATCAATACAACTAACCTTGCTATTAAAGACTGAGGCAAAGGCGGCATTAAGGACCTCAGCCTTCTCCTCATCACTTGTTACCATGTTTCCTCCTGTGTCTAGCAGGGGATGGAGACTCTCCCTGGACTTTCTTTTGCTACTGACATACTTATAGAAACTTTTCTTGTTATCCCTGAATGCAGAGGCCAAATTAATTTCCAGTGGGGCTTTAGCCCTTCTGATTTCCACCCTGCCCAGCCTCACAGCCCCTCTGTAATCACTGTGAGTGCCTAGCCCCTTCTTCCAAAGGCTGTAAACTCTGCTTTTCTCCCTGAGTTACAGCCAAAGCTCCCTGTTCAGCCAGGGTGGTCTGCTCTGGTGTCGGCTTCTCTTAGAGCACCTGGGGACCGCCTGCTCCTGAGCCATTAACACTGCCTTCTTAAAGAGCACCCAGCCCTCCTGGGCCCCTGTACCCATCAGAACAGTCTCCCAGGGGATCCTTTCAAGCAGGTGCCCTTCTGAAGTCCAGGATGTCAGTCCTGCTTAGCCCTCTCCTGACCTCTCTAAGATTAGAATTAATTTTAGATTTTTTTCAGAAAGATGGTGATGTTTTCATTGCAAATACACCTGAGGAAACTTTTTGTTTCTTTAAAGTGTGTTTTGCGCTTTGGCAAATCTGCAGAAGCACAATCAGTTCCTCTCTGGTTTCTTAGGGACTGGGAATGTGTTTGCACATTTCAGCCCTCATTACCTCAATCACTTTGCTAATACTTGCATCATTCCCCACAAAATTCCTGCTAATTAAAAATGTTGTAAAAAGGAATTTTTCATTTGTCATTGAAATTCAACCACTATGATGTTTTCTAGCTCTCTTTTATCCTTACATAGAGGAATCGGCAGCTTTTTAAAAAAATCCGAGTGGGAAACAGCCAAAATCCCACACTTTCATAGACATTCTTGTTGAGAACAGACCGTGCAAATTCTTTGTCTTTTCCAGCAGCTTCATTTCTGCAGTCTAGTACCAAGCATGGACTCTTGCAAGAGATCGTCCATCCCATATTGCCTCGAACTATCATTAGTTCTTTCACTGTGTGAAGATAGGCACATGGTGGGGAACACTTGATAACACAGATCCCGGTGCTTACCTCTACCTTACAGATTTCTCATATTTATTTTTTTTCAAACTTCTCCCCAAACCATATTTGACTTGCAACTTGCTCTGTGAGTTACATGAAAGCTAAGATGGAAGAAGTACTAGAGCAGGAAGGGATGACACCAGAATGGGTTACAGCCTCAGACTGGAAGCATGAATTGTCCTGGGAAGGCAATCTGGCAGGCTGTTCTGGACTGTGTTCACCAAAATTAACCTTAATTAATTAACCTGAACACCATTTGAACCATCCCTCAGGGAGTGAAGCACTCAGTCTGAGCTCCTAGTTAAAACTCAGCCTGTTGACTGCAGAGCATTAAAAACCAGCCTCTTCTGCCTTAACTTAGCTTTTGGGAATACAGCCAAAGGGCTACTGTTGCCCACAGAGGGGAGGAATTTTCCCTCAGCAGATTTCAGGACTCCTGACCTTTCCTCTTCATGTCCTCTATACCTTTCAAGTAAACAAACGTTAGGATCTTTCCTATGAGGATCATTGGAAAGCCCTGTTTGCACCTGCAAAATGGTTTGCAAAGAAGAAAGCTGAAATACTGTCCCTCACCTTCGCCTAAAGCAATTGTACGTAATCCTTGAGCAAAGAGACTTTGCCCACATCTCTGAGTCAAGCCATACAGAAGTGGGGATAGGTTTGTATTTAATGTGTGGGGCTTGGAGAAGGACATGAGTGCATGTCGTGTCCCTGTCATCATCCCAAGATCCTACATGTTCTCTTACGTGAGTAATTAACATCTCTGTGTCGCTTTCCCTTTAAAATAGGACAGTGAGACTGGTTCCTCACCTGTAGCAAATAAAACAGGTAGGGCATGTTTCTTTTTTCTCCTAATGGCAAAACCTGCAAACACATCTTACATTCAGCCAACAGTTTAGCCAGTTATGCAGTCTGCTGTATTGGTCCACAGTGAAGAAACAACAGAAACATCGTCATGTTCTTAACTCTAGTTAAGAGATAAGTTCCACTATTTTATTTACCACTCTGTTACTTCTGTTGGTCTTGTACAACATAGCTTTTGCCTCATACTGGTGCTCCTAGGTTTGAAATTCAGAGTAGGGAGAAAGAGTAAAATCCATCCACTCGTTTCCCAATAAATCATTTCCTTTTGCTTCTCTCTACCTCATGACCCACCACCCTCCTCACACGTGTGCCCTCAGAAGCATGACACAGCCACTCTGCAAGCTGATGCAGAGTGTGCACAACACCCTTTCCCCCTTCCAGCATGGTCTGTTCAGCACTTCCACCCACACCTGACTCATATGGAGGAGGAGAGGCAAACCCCCACAACTGCCGTCTTACTACTTGGGAGTTTTATTTATTTACTTACTTTAAATCCAAAATCGTGTTTGGTTTTGTTTTTTTTTTTTTAAAACAGAAATATTGTGCCTTTTAATTCAAGTCTGCTTCACAGATGTACAGCAGAAAGGACTGTGCAGCTTGTAGACTTATCTAAGTATTGCCTGCCGTGGTTGGAAAGCGATAAAGTTTTGAGCTTGTACCCTTTCATCTCAAAGTGCCTCACAAACATTCATTAACACAGCCCCGCGGAGGTTAGGAGCACAGTTCCTCCCCGTCGTGGTTAGGGAGATTGAGGTCAGAGGGCTTTTTTGAGGAGGAAGAATAGCATCAGAAATTAAATGCCAATGTTGCAGGCTCTGAGTATTGCCCCACAAGCTCTTAAAGGATGGCTGGGATCCAAATGTGACACCTCTTGCAGCACGACATCACCAGGGAGCAATAGGAGACGGGGGGGCTAATCCTTTCTGTAGTTCCTAAGAGTCCATTGCAGCAAAAAGAATAGCATTTGCTTCCAGCTGTTTTCTTTCCAATTATTAATATTACTGATAGTAGTAGTAGTAGTAATCGTAGAATTAGTATTATTTGCTGAGTTTCAAAATATAAATAATTGATTTGGGTAATCTCTGCTCTTGTGACACTTCTTTAATGAAATGTCTTCATTGGGAGCAAAAGAATCCCATTATGAGACATTCATTCATTGCAGAGCGATAACAAGGAGAAGGATATGTGATTTGTATAATCTGGTTAAATGGCTCAGATTGCCTAGCCATAGCCTCCCGGGTATAATATTCGTTTGAATAAAAGTTGATTGAATTTTTTTTTAACTAATCTTATTCTTTTGTTAGAGCCACAAGCAACCTGCTGCCTTTATTGTAACCCAACACCCTTTGCCCAACACCATAGCAGACTTCTGGAGGCTGGTGTTTGATTATAACTGCTCCTCTGTTGTGATGCTGAATGAGATGGATGCAGCACAGGTAAGTGATTTTTCATCATTTCTGTCATGTAACTTCTCAAATCCAGATGGATTTAAGAGCATTTCTGCTGCCATTTTCTTGTGTCCCCCCTCCCCACCCCAATAAAGGGGAACTGGAAAGTAATAGTTAATGTTTTGGGGTATAATGAAGAATAAGTCCACGTGCTTGACTCCTTCTAAGGCACCTAATTCTTATTGCAGTTAACAGGGATATCTATTCTGTGTTTGCAGGCCTAAATCTTCCTCCCAAATCCCCGTTGTTCCTTTTCATATTTTTTCCCTGTCTTTGGTTTAGAAAAATGTTCCACAGCCCCAGTGTGCTTCATGCTTGCCTGTTCACATGATCTTTCCAGAAGAATAAAACCAAGAGAGATGCTGAAATAGTTTGAAGGATCTTTTCTCTGAGATTGACAATGCAATTCTGTAATACTGAGAAGTGTGGTTTGCACAGTTTCTGGAGATGTACATTGTGCTGTACATTGTGGGGGTTTTTTTCCTTTCTAGTGTCATGTGTAAGTTGGTTTCTTGGCTACTAAAACCACCATTATTTTCCGGAGTCGAGCTTGCCAAGGGAGAAGCCATTGTAGTTCCTCCTGTACTAGCATTTCCAGCCACCTTGCTGATGAGTGGCAGAAGATAACAGCTTTCAAAAAGGCATAATCATGCAATTTGTGTGAAGAGTACATTTGGCATGGCTAATTCACCCATTACAGCACTTGTTAAACAAGAGGAGAGGAACCCTCAAGTAGTTCGTACTTCATGGATTAATTTTTCGTTTGTCTCTTCCCTGTCTTCAAAATCTTACCACACTTGAAGGCAGCGAGGTTACTGGTCTCTTTTTTCAGTGATAGTGGAGAAGCCAATCACCCCGTTAGGTGAGGGTATCTCCCTTCAGGGTGAACGCTGTGGGATTTCATCTCCAGCACAGTAAGAGCTCTGCTCAGAAGAGGGCTCTCTTGGTGACCTGCAGAGTCCCACTGCTGTGCAAGGAATTGGAGGTCCTGTGGATTTGCTGCCTCCTGTCCAATTCACCCTGCCTGATTCTGCATCTTGGCACTGAATCCAGAGATGAACTTCATCTTTTCCTTTTTTTCTGACACTTAAAAACACAGCTTCTTATGGAAATGGCACGCTTTCTCACACTTCATTCTTGGAAAACACAAGCCTGTCAGCCTCAGACAGTGTTATTCTTGTGACTGTCTTTCTGCACGAGAATTTACCTGCTTTGTTTTATTCCCAGCAAAGTTTTGTTTTTATGAGGTAGTCTGTAGGCACAGAAAAGGAGATTTGAAAATTCATAAAGTCATTTTGACGGTTACTCTAGCAGGGTGTCACCTACCTCGAGTCTGCAGCCGGTGCCAAAATCACCAAGGGAGCACTGGAAGTTAAGGATTATTTTAAAGTTTGTATCTTAGGAGCTTTCAAGGCAGGGTATGACAGTTTCATATCACAGAATCATTTAGATTAGAAAAGACTTAAGATCATTGAGTCCAACCATTAACCTAGCACTGCCAAGTCACACTAAACCATGTCCCTGACTGCCACCTTACAGGTCTTCTAAATACCTGCAGGGATGGTGACTGAACCAAGTCCCAGGGCAGCCTGTTCCAGCGCTTGACAACCTTTTGGTGAAGAAGTTTTTCCTAATATCTAATCTAAACCTCCCATGATGCAAATTGAGGCCATTTCCTCTTATCCTATCACTTACTACTTGGGAAAAGAGACCAACACCCACCTCACTATAACCTCCTGTCAGGGAGCTGTAGAGGGCCAGGAGGTCTCCCCTCAGCCTCCTCTTCTCCAGACTAAACCCCCCCAGTTCCCGCAGCCGCTCCCCATCAGACCTGTGCTCCAGACCCTGCACCAGCTCCGTCACCCTTCTCTGGACACGGTCCAGTCCCTCAATGTCTTTCTTGTAGTGTGAGGCCCAAAACTGAACACAGTATTTGAGGTGCGGCCTCACCAGTGCCAAGTACAGGGGACAATCACTTCCCTGTTTCTGGCACAAGCCAGGATGCCACTGGCCTTCTTGGCCACCTGGGCACACTGCTGGCTCATATCCAGCCGTCTGTCAGCCAACACCCCCAGATCCTTTTCCACCAGGCAGCTCTCCAGCCACTCTTGCCCAAGCCTGTAGCATTGCGTGGGGTTGTTGTGACCCAAGCGCAGGACCCAGCACTGAGCCTTGTTGAACCTCATACAGTTGGCCTCAGCCCATCCATCTGGCCTGTCCAGACCCCTATGTAGTAGACTTCTTACCCTCAAGCAGATCAGCAGATTCGCTGTAAAAGTGAGGTTTCTGAAAAGGAAACTTAACAATGTTGTGCTTGTACTGTCGTTGTATGACAATGTTGTAATTATCTACCTGTTCATCACTGCCTAATCCAAGTGCTGTACTGTAAGCACTATGAAACTGTTGGTGTACAATAGCTTCCGGATACTGTATTTGCGTGCATGAGCAGGTTGTGTTACTCATCTCAATAAGTAGAACACAAATACAAAAATTGCTTATATAAAACTGTGCCTAAACTGTAGAGAGGAAAAGAGTTAAAATAAATACATAAGTGAACCTTTAATCCACTATGCAGGAAAACGTGCAAGTAAAGCCATGTAGAGGTGAGAGAACATAACAGACAATTTAAGACTTTATATACATATATATTTGGGTAGATGGCCATTCACAGACCTGCTTTATGAAAAGCAAACTTTCAGTATTAAGGATTAATTTTTTTTTTCTTTCCAATGCACCTTGAGGTTGTTTCCTAAAGCACCTGCTCAGCTCAAATCTCCTTGCCTATTGGACAGATGCTTCAGAGGAATCTGTAGGCTGCTTGAAAGTCTGAATGAAGAGTAAAGACAACATTCAAAGGAGGACTTGCTTATGTGGTCTTGCCTGGCTTGCTTAAGCTTGTAAAACTAACAAGGGCAAAGATGCACAAGATTGCATAAATATCCCACCCAATTTCGATCCCATATGATTGAAGGAATAACAGGAATACAGAATTAGTGCAGTAGCATGCATACACTTGACGTTATTACTGGCAGTGATTGAACTTGAAAAGCTTGAGAGCAAGTTCAAATGAGCATCTGGGGGTTTCAAAACTTCTAAAAAATTGCACTTGAAAATAGGAAGAAAGAAACAGAAAGAAATACAATCTCAGCAGAAACTGCTAATGAGATCTCATGCAAAATATTTTCTCACCATGATCTATTTCCGGATGGATTTGAAATACTTGGATTGTAATTTGTGTGGATACAATTTTTTTTTGTACTTTCAGTTCAGTAATATCAGCATAAGAAAAAAGACTTCCAACCTGCTTCACAAACTTCAGAGATTCAGTTGTGGTTCACCCTGCAATCGGAGTTGCTCTTGGAGCAAACTCATACTCATTCTCCCTTCCCTGCTCGCTGGTAGAGTCAGAAGGCTAAAAAGTTCATCATACAGAAAAAAGAAGTTCCACTTTGCTTGAATTAAGATTAATTTTCTTAGCTCATATACTATTTTCTCATCTACACCAAACCTGTGTGGCTCCTATTAAAATTACCTACAGACACTAATCTTTTAATGTTCATTTTAAATCTATACCCCTACAGAAGCTTCATTTATCAGCCAGTTTTTCTGCACCTTTAGACCCCAGAATTCAATGTTACAAAATGCATTCATACAAAAAAAAAGGGAAAAGAAGTCATGCTTCTAAAATTTATTCCTTTTTTTTTCTTCATATTCATGATATTAAAAATGTTTGCTGAGTTAGAATAAGGTCTTCTCCGAGCAAATACATGTAAGACAAGATTAGTTATGGATTTAGAGCTGATTAGAAATTTGAAAGGAAATTAGACTGACCATGCATTTCTTTGTTAATAGTTAAGGTGTCTTCTGTTTCTTTTGGCATTTTCTCTAGCTCTGCATGCAGTACTGGCCAGAGAAGACGTCCTGTTGTTATGGCCCAATTCAAGTAGAGTTTGTTTCAGCAGACATTGATGAAGATATCATCAACCGGATATTCCGGATCTGCAACATGGCCAGGGTAAGATCAGTGAAATACCAGTTCCCTCTCTATTCTCAAAAATACATTTTGGCATGAGGAAGAGGCAGAACCAAGACTTGTGGTTTAGAGATGCTGAATCTCTCACCTCAGAACAAAATTCCACTGTAGAATGTAGTAGCTACTTCCTTTAATTAACATTTAATTGCATCAGTCTGTATTGGTAGAAGACTCTTGGCCGAAAGTAGAAAGTAGATGATACGAGCTGAAAAATCTGTATTTAAATGGAAAGCATTTCTCTGTGTGTATTTGAGAACAATTAATCACCCGGTAGCCAATATAAAACCATCGGTATCATAGGAAATAAACTGGGATAGTATCAGCAGCTCTCCATCTGTCAACTAGTATGCAATGGTCTCTGAAGACAGATGCAACATTTACTGGCTAGACTGGGATTCCCAATTGCCACTGTTTTCCCTATAAATAAGCAACTGCCATTTCAGTAAGCAACTCTTTGTCTGTATCCCTCAGCACCAGGACAGCTGAAATGACAGAAACAAAGTTTATCTGCGCACTGGACCCTGGCCATGCAACTTCAGGGCTGTAGGAAGGGGGTTCACTAGAGAATTTCTCTCTCATTAGTTGTTTTCCAGATTGATTATGTCTCCTCTTTTGTTCCTTTTTCACTTTTTCTAATCAGTAATGGAAACAGGCTCCACAAATTACATTTCCATGCTGTTTAACACATCAGTCTCTCATTGTGTGGTCAGAGCCTGGGCAGCAATTCAGTCGTGGCATTGCGGAGTGAACCTTGTGGTCCAACTGCACAAATTGATAAATTACTTCAATGTTCACCTTTCTGTATCCCAGGCCAACTGCTTCTGAACCAGGGACAACCTTGAAGTCGTGCAGCTAATGAATAAGGCTCTGTAACTCTCGGGATGAAGCTGGCTCGTAAATGCAGAGCTGGCAGGGTGGATGCTGTGAACTCACAAATCTCTGCACCCATCTATGTTCAACACCACTGGCTGCTGCTAAAATCTTTATGAGGATCCTTTCCTGTCACAGTCCCCAGAGATTTTTTTGAGCACCTTCTTTGCCTTTAGTTCTTATGGCACAACTAATCTCCAGCACAGGCAATCAGGAAAGACACATCTGATCTATTTGTACAGTTTGATGAGAGTTTATTCTCTACCGAAAACAAAACAAGGGATCCTATGCACCTGGTTTCTGCCTGACTCTGTAATACCTGAAGTCATCATTGTTACCTGGATTACTGAAAAGTCCTTGTTCCCCACTGTATCTGGTAACCAGAGTGGAGGATGTTAACACTGATGACATCAGATCCAGGGGGGGAGATGCCATGTAACCAGTGCCCCCTGCTTTACTCTGTGTCTCTGCTTCCTGCCCTGCCCCGTTTAGCATCTTGAAAGCACTCTGTTTTAGCCTCAGGACGGGTATCGCATAGTTCAGCACCTGCAGTACATCGGCTGGCCAGCATACAGGGACACCCCTCCTTCCAAGCGCTCCCTCCTGAAGGTGGTCAGAAGGTTGGAGAAGTGGCAAGAACAGTACGATGGGAGAGACGGACGGACTGTTGTCCACTGCCTGTAAGTAGGACTTGAAAATATCTGTAACCTGACGAAATGCTGGCTGAAGAGCACTGATTATGGATCTGGAAATCTGGTGGTTTGCCAGGCTTCAGCCGGGGAAATTGAAGTTAAATTCATAATACACTTCAAGTTGAATATTGTGCTACCTTATAGCATCCTGGCCTAGAGATTTTACTGATTGTGGTGAAGAGCAGCTGAGAAAGTTGTGCTACTTGCTGTTTTGTAGGTAGGTCTCGTGACTGGAGCCCAGCCACAACCAAAGCAGCACTGCTGCGTGTTCAGCTCTGAGCTCGGAGCTGCTGTGAGCCCAGAGCCGTGAGGAGCAGCACTGCAGTCCCTGGGGCTGCCCTGGCCACCAGACCAGGCACCAGCTTGGCCCTTCCATCCCTGTCCTCTGCCCTGCAGGTCTCCACTTCCACAAACCCATGAATGTCCTTAACCAGCCCTTATGTTACAGACCTTTCTTAGCATTTGAGGTGTGTGAGCAGCGCTCTCCCCAGCTTTGCCTTCACCTCTTGACTCTTTTCTCCTGCGTCCAGGAATGGTGGGGGACGCAGCGGCACCTTCTGTGCCATCTGCAGCGTGTGTGAAATGATTCAACAGCAAAATATCATTGATGTGTTCCACATAGTGAAAACATTACGGAATAACAAATCCAACATGGTGGAGTCACTGGTAAGCTTTTTCCCCTGTGCCTTACCCCACCCAGCATATGCATGGGGATCTTAGGATAGGCAAAAAAGATTTCATGACTTAGACCAGTATGAATCAAAATGAATCATAATGTGAAGCCATCAGAATTAACGTCAGTCCCATTTTAGCATGTGCAATGAACGCCCTGGTCCCACTGCTGCTCTCCTTGAGCGGGGACCTGCTGCCCTGGCAGCGTGAGGAACACTGTGTCCATGCCCAGCTGCCTCCAGGAGGTCAGACCCCAAGTAGCTCTCACCATGGCTGTGGGGATGGGGGCATTTGTCCTCCTGTACATGCATACAGCCAGTGCTTAATGCTGTGACATGCCTTGAACCCAGGAACAGTCCAAACCCCAGGCCTTGCTCCCTGCAGCCGAAGAGATTAAACTGTCCTGAATTCAGTCGTCTCAACTGATCACACTGAATTCTTTCCTCAAAAGCAACGCATGCAGTGAGGGCTTGAAGCAAATAATAGTCCATACAGTGGCTGTCTCTTTGCGTGTCTTTCTTTTCCATTGATGATACCATCTCTTAGTAATTCTTATTCAGGATCATATAGAAATGCAATTAATTTTTGCCTGGTCTTGCCAAACAGTATAAGAGGGAGGAGGCACTTTTGGCAGCTTGTAGAATGAGGCTTTTAAGAATTTACCTGTATCCTAATGCCATTGATTTCTGTTCTGTCTTTCAGGAACAGTATAAATTTGTATATGAGGTTGCACTGGAATACTTGAGTTCCTTTTAGCCCAGCAGAGGGAGGGGAGCCTCCAAAATGCCAGATCCCAACCTCTGGCAGACACTTCTCCCCTCTCCCACACTGGAAGGCAGTAACAAGTGTGGGAAGGAAAACCTCTCCTTCCCAGAGCAAGAGACTGAGATTGCACAGACCTCGCTGGAAGGAGGAGACGATGCCTGTGTTTGCTGCTGCCTGCTTTCTATTGGAACATCTACCGCTTCTTAAATAACCTACTGTAAAATTCAGCAAAATGGGAGACAGGCTGAAAGACTGGACTTTCTAATCCCCTCTGACTTCTCTCCCCTTTTGGATTGTATTTTTGCTCTCCTTGCTGCAGAGTGGGGAAGGAATGAAACCCTTAGGAAATTCTCTTTTAAATGTCTCTTTTTTAATTTATAATTTTGTTCTCAAATCCCAGTCTTTAATTTTTTAATTTTATGCAGCAGTCATTTGGGAAAAATGAGATAGCCATAGGGGATATATGAAATGTTTCATTACAATTTGTCTACCTTATCTGTCTCCTTTTATTTGTTTTTCCAAATGAAAAGGCCAACACAAAAAAACCCCACTGGAATTCTTTTCCCATATGTAGTCCCTTTTAGCATGAAAATAGATGGTGGAGATGAGAAGCTGTTCATGGATTCACTGCCTCGGCTTCTACACAAATGTTTCCTCCCAGTTTCTGCTAGACTCCCAAGGCTGTGCATGAACTGGTTACATCTCTCTGGTCTGTGTTCGTTTCAGTGCTGGTGGAGCAATACCATTAATGAGTTTCCCAGCCACTTGAACCTTAAATATTTGCATCAAACAAATTGCATTTGTCTTGCAACTTTGGTAACTTTGTTACCATATTTTTCAAGTATTTTCTGGGGTGCAGTGTGTCTTTGAAAAACAGGGTATAAAGTAGGTATTATTGATCATATACTATGTATTATTATTTTTTATTTATTATTTGTATTGCTGTAGAACTTAGGACCCCTAGTCATGACAGGACCCTGCTGAACTAGGCACTGTGCAAACAGAGAACAAAGAAGGTTCTTGCTCAAGAGCTTAAAATCTGAAGGTAATCTCTAAATTGGGTTTGGTCGAGATTTCCTCGCTATTTCCAAACTGTTGTACAGTCAGATGTAGTTGAGTGATTTATTCAGATTTCCAGGCTATACAAGCTTCAAAATGGTAACCCATCCAAGCTGTAGGAAAGGTGATGTACATACACAGAAACCTATTCTGATGTGTTAAGAAAAGTGTTAGACTAGCACAGCAACTTTCTTTCTTAAGCAAAACAGCTTTTGTTCTGTTCTGGAAAAATGCTTGTGCAACTCCTTCTTTGAAACAAACACCAGATGTGTTTTGCCATGGTTCTGGATCTCACTCTGACTTCTTAGCAGCTAAGAAATTGCTTTTCTGAAAGAGTATGTTTAAGTAGTTAATCGTTAAAGTCTGCAGGGTAATCCTGGAGAAAAAAAAATAATTGAATGAACAAGTCTTTACAATATTCAGTACTTCAATTTATCCATTTATTTATCTTGAGGGTGAGGGGATATGAGGTTGCTCTGTGTGTAAATTCGATTCTGGAAGATGTAGGTTTCTTCAAATACAGATTTGCTATAAGATAGGCTGATGGTAAGAGTTTAAGGAAGCTCCACTTTCTTACCACCCTGTAGTTTTCCACCCTCAGGTAAATACTCCGATACTGTGCTGCAAGCTCTGTCGTGTCGATGCCTGGCATAGAGCATGCCAGAATTTGAAAAAATTTTGCTAATTCTAAATGTAAATTCAAAAGGCACCTCTACTTCATGGTCATTCTTTTTTCAATAGTCATACCTTTGCCTTGACAATGAAGGATGAAAATTAAATCTGATAAAAGCAACTCTCTACTCAAACAATACCTAACCAAAAAGTTGTCATCTCTACCAGGACCTGCAACAGTCTTAAGGAAGGATGCTTGGAACAGTAGTAATCCTCTTCCTGCTAAGCAAGAGGAGAGGCTTCATAGGATGCTGAACCGCCTAGCTCATATTCTTTCCAGGGGCTTTGGATTCTTGGCTTGTTCCAAGTGAGTATCATGAAGGTCTTCAGTGAGCTTGAACCACATTGTCCCTGATGTAGCCAGTGTGCCATAAAGTATTGGTGAGAACCCCGTCACAGGTGCCTCTGCTCTGTTTCTAGTTGGTCCTTTTTGTTGTGTGCAAGAAATCACAAAATCACTTTTAGTTCCCATTCGGGCTGTAGGTAGATTTCTGGCATCTCACAAAACAATCTAGTCGTTTAAATTGTTTTTTTCTCCTTTTGCCACTAAGCAACACAAACAATTCTGCAGAAAAAATAGAAAGCAAAGCAAAGCTATAAGATAAAAATGAGAAGGAAGGCATGTTAGTGTTTTGATTACAGGTGGCTTGCTCTAACAGTGTAGGTCAGGAGCGGGGACCATTAGCAAAGAGGGAAGAGGGAATCTGTATCCCAGAATGATATTTTTCAACAACTGCCCAGGTAGGAAGAAACTACAAGTCAGCAAAATGTTCATGACTTTGCTAACTCCTGAAAGCCAGAGGGAATCAATCCCTGTGGGTACTATGGAAATATTAATTAGTATTTAGCATTCTGTTAATTTTACATGGAAACTAGCATAATGATAGGTCCCCCTCATGAATTGCTGAAAGACTAGTGCAAGCACTAAAGGTGACAGACAGGATAAAAGGAATAGAGAGGTAGAAGAAATGACAATATGACTGAGATGTGAAGTGGAGGTAATTCAAGGCTGAACAGTAGCATGAAGGAAAGTTGATTAAAAAGACATAAGTAAGCCCATAGGAGGGCTGTGTGCATGGAGAGAAGGATGTTGGATGAGCAGAGCAGAACAGCACTTGTAGTGGAGTAGCTGTTTAAGGTCTTGAGGTAGGTTTGAATGCATTTCAGGGTATGAAAAATGCTACAGAAGGGTCAAGTATGTGTATCAGTGGCAACTCACTATGTGCTTTTGGCCCTCTGAAAATGCAAAATAACATTAGCATAAACTGCAGGGAAAGGTATTTAAGCTAAATTTTACCTTGTATTTGCAAGGAACAAGTTTAATACAAACATTGGTTACCACAGCCCAACTGTTAGTCACAGCTTAGTATGTGGCAACTCAGCCATGTGTCTCAACCTTCTTCCAAAGTCCAGCCTACAATCCATGTGGAAGGATGCTCAGGAAACACTACAGCTTATGTTGCCAAGGTCTTGTATTGTCATGCAGTTACATTGCTTTTGGGGGACTGACCCAGCTCCAGTCTGTGTTGGCTCAGGGATCTTTATGCTGTTCCTTACTGCACAATGTATATGTGCTGAATGGGAGTTAATGATGAAGGGAATTGTGTGGAAAGAGAAGAGAAGCTAGCTTTAAACAACCTTACTACCTTGAGGTTGTTTAAACCCTAGAGAACAGCCTGTAGCAAAATCGGTAATGTGTTTGAAGCAAGATCATGGGTGATGGGTTTGTTTTCCCTGAGAGAAATTAAGAGATGAGATAAAGGAGGCTTTCTCAGTCCTGAAAGGATTAATAGTCAGGGCAAGCTTTCCAAGTTAAGCATCCCCTGCTGCAGATGGAAAGCGATAATGTATGGTAGAAAAGGTGAATTCCTCAATGACTAAGTTTTAAGCTGGAAAAATAAGATACTGACAATATTTGAATGGTCATAATGAAGATAAACTTACTCCCATTCAGACACCCTTCAGTGGTGAGGGAGCACTTTTAATTGATAGCATAGTCTTGGTCTGAAGTTTAATCTGAAAGACAGGGTACTACAAATAGGTAAAGATGGGTGCTTCAGGGATGACTGTCACGTACAGGGAGTAACTAACAAATTATTAAGGGATGTAACTGAAGCAAAGAATTCCAGAGCTATCTAGGCTGGCTGCTGGAGAAGGAAGACCCTGAGTTGTCTGCAGGAGAGAGATAGACCAAAACCACTAAAAGGTACAGAAGGTCTTCACAACCTTTTATTTTTTTTAGTTTTGTGTTTGTTTGGAGGTGGTTTGTGGGTTTGGTGGGGGTTTTTTAATTAAAATTTCTGCAGGAACTATATTCTATGATTTTTTTTTTTTTTTTTTTTTTTTTGACTTCTTCAGATTACCTGTAAGGAAACAAGTGTTTGACATTCTGTAAATAGACTTGGTTATTAACAGAAAGAAAAAGATCATGCAAGGGAGTACAAGGATACATGTGAAAGTAACTGAATCGGGACTTCTGGTAGCAAGCAAGCCAATGGAAATTCAGTGGTTTTATTTATGTCTGCAGATTGAAATAATTGGTATTCTCTGATCAGGGAAGTCTCTGGTCTATGGTTAAGGAGGAGACCTTTCAATCTGTCATTGAAATTCTTCACCAGGGTTGCACAGAATTATGTCTGCCTTTGCCATGCTCTGGTGGGTCCCTCTTAATTTATTCACAGTTTAAGCTATTTATATGAGCTAGAGTTGTCCATTTTGGTCCATGGGCAACAGGTAGTTGGCAATGAAAGGTTTTTACATGCATTGAAAAGCTGTAACTTCAGTGGCCTTTACCCCCAAATCAAACCACCGTTTCTGTGCCCCATCTCCCCTGCTCAGCCCTCATGCAGCCCACATGTACACATAGGTCCAGATAACTCCCATAAAAGCAGACAGGGATTTTGGGAATTGCCTGTGACCCCTAATCAGTCTGGTCCATGTAATTCTGTAGGACAGAGGAGAGAATCCCAGAGCTTTTGCCTAGAGCAGTATGTATTTTTGTGTCAGTAGTTTCCAGGTTTTTATTCTGGATCTGTAAATTCCCTTCAATAAAAAGCCTGGTGGCAATGAAGACCCCATAGTAGTAGATTTAAGCCTGCAGATAGTAGACTTGTTTTTCCATCTTTTTCACAGACCCTTTAGACATAGTTTGTGAGGTTTCCCTTGGGAATCTCAAGCCAGGGATTGCTGGTCACTGCTCTTGATGTGCTGTAGAGTCAGAGAAAGGAGAGAGGCTCCTACAGCAGGTGATTCAGAAGGCAGTTAAACGAATTGCCATCTGAAAGAAGAAAAGGAGAAGAAATCTCCTTTAGAAGAAACCAAACACTGGAGGAGGAGGCAGATTAAATGGAGTCTTGAAACAGGTAGGAAACATGCACCTTTTTCTGTCTCTCATTCTTGCACAGCTGCTCTTACATCTTTCTTACTCTTCTGAGTTCATGCCAAGATCATAAAAAACAGGTAATGCCACACTCCATGCTGTGGAGCTCTGTGGAGACGGAGCAGTCAGAGTGTAACAGAGGGAGTAAATCCTGAGGGACAAAGATAAAAGGCGGTTTGCTTGAGAGAGGAATCTTCAAATACGAGGTGCCTCTATCTGTCAGACTTGCAGAATTCTTAACAAGTCATCACAGAGCAGCACACAGTCCTGCTGCGGTCCTGGACGTGCAATGCAGCGGAAATGTTCTGCTCGGAAAACTTCATTGTCCTGTAATAAATTTAAAACAATCAATTCCATTACATTGGTAGCACAGTTAACTTTTATGGTGTCTCCAGACAGTGCAAGGGGCATCTCAAGAACTTTGTGTGAGCCTGCTGTATTTTCACTTGAGATTCTTTCATTTGTCTTAAGTGTTTCAAACTTCAGTCAACCTCAGTTTGTTAGAAAAATAAAGGGGGTCATGTGGCAAAAGTTATTCAGCATAACCACTGCCTTTGGGTCAGGAATTCATTATACCTCCTAGGAAACTGTGAAATGATAGAACAAACTACTGCATCTTCCCTGCACAGATGTTTACAGGAGTAGAACCGGGGGGAGCCAGCCTATTAAAGTCAGGGAGACAGAAGTGAGTAATAAGGATTCTGTTAACCCTCCTGTGTTCCTATTTATTTAGATTGCAGTCTTCTATAGCCATACATACATAATATACAATTTAAATGCAAGTGCTCTTTCTTTCCCTGTTCCCAAAAATACCTACAGCTCTTTTTTTCATCAAGGGTGAGCCAACAGCATAGCAAGCAAAGCCCACTTTCTGCAGTTTTGGCAAGGACCACTAGGATCATGTATTATCTGTTCATTGACTTGGAAGAAGTATCAGTGATCTTCCTCATATACATACTTGAAGAATGTACAATTTTCTGTAACTGTCAACTAAAATCATACATTTTCATACATCAAGACCATATCCTGGTGGTACTGAGTGTGATGGAAAGAAAAAAGAAAAATCTTGCTGACTTCCAGTGACCTCTAGTCTATAATCTTTATTTGCTGTGTTAAAATATTTTAAAACCCTCCCTTGTAAAAAATAAACTATACTCAGAATATCCTACAGTTTCATGTTGGACTAGCATAATTGTGAAAACCTGGCAGCTTTTTACAGTTTGTAAAAACATGAAAGATCTAAATCAGCCTTTCCATCCTTTGTCCCAGTGCATGCAGCAGATTTTTCACCACTATTCTGTTTTCAACCTGAGCCTTAAAAAACAAAATAATGCAGCAGACTGAATGACAATTGCTGGTGTTCCCATAGTGTTTCCTGGTGGACAGAGGGAAAAAAAAAAAATGGAATGAAATGGGAAAAGAACAACCTAAAATGTTTTTCCTGCAACATAATTCAGCATGAGCTGTTTCTAAGCAGTATAAACACGGGCCAGTCCATGCCACTTTGTCTGGAGCAAGGATTTGCTTGTTGCAAGGTGGAGGCACACTGTAGATAGACCCTCTGGGACCACTCCTGGTATTTCATGTATAGGTACCCAACAGCATAGTGGTTACTTAGTGGAGGCACTTGTTGCAGAATGACAGTGTTTCAGTGGAGATACTTTTCATTGAGAGATCTGGTACTCTGAAAGGCTACTATTAGGGGGACTCGTGAGATACCTCAAGTGTGTTGAACTATGAAGATTTATTTCCTTGTGTGAGTACATCATCTTTCAATGGGAACCTCCCAGAAATCTTACTTGTGTGAAATTATGGAAAGGAGGGCATTTTTGGGAATGGAAGTGGGAGTGTGGCCAGCACTTTACAAGCTTTCGTGAATTTAGATACTCTAGCAAGACTCCCCAGGACAAATGATAGTTGTTTGCATTGCTGAAAGTCTAAACAGAGTTTATGTGCTGGACTCATATGTACCTGGAACAGAAGTGGCATTACCTCCTCATCGCCCCTGTAGCCTTTTCTTACATCTCCAGCACTTAAATGCTGTACTACTATGCCACAAGTTTGAGCTGTATCCTTAACACCTCCTTTAACCCATACTGACTCACCACATTGACAAAATTCCCTCCCATATTGATTTAAACTCCTTCACCTCCTCCCCCTCCCCCCACCTCCCCCCTTCTCTGGCCAGTCCTGATGAAATTACAACCTACTAGCATCACTTGTTGCCAGACTCGTCACTACTTCACACAGCAGTGCTGTGGCTGCAACTGAATCAGCAGTGTCCTGTTCCAGCTCCCTGGGTGCATTTTGCCAGCAGGGAGGAGTGCTGCATGAGAGCTAATCTCCGCTGTTGCGATGCCGCCCCCATCTTCCCCCCCCCCCCCTT